ATAATTCTAACATTAAGTTATCAGGAACATTTAAAGATTCTGCTCGACGTTTCATATTGCTAAGCAAATCGGATAGGTTTTCGAAGAACCTAATTCCTCTCCAGATAATAATTGGCGAAATTTCTTGCTGAGAAGATTCTCCTGCACGATTATTAACTCATTTTAAGCTTTGCATATGGATCATAGGGTCTGGTTTCATAGTAAATCCCGACACTAGTGATGCGATATCTGGAGGAAGATGAGCAAACTACATAATTATATTTAGTAATGGATTGTGTGCTAGGTTTGGGGGTGGCAAGAGCAAAAGGTACTTTTCACACATAATAAACCATAAAGATGGTCTGATCGGTTATAAACCGGAATTTGGACGGCATGAACATCAGAATTGTGCAAGGTTTTTAAGCCAAAATAAAAGGAAAAATTTAACTAAAGAAAATGAAATTAAATGATAAGTAGAAAAACAGAATTATAAAATGATCTATAATTACTACTCATCTGTGATCCGGAGGACGAAAACCGAGTAATCCATTACTTCTGGTTGGGGGGAGATCTTGAGTGATGGCTTGTAGTCAAAACCGAAAGTGCTTGAGAACTGTTCATACGATTTAACACAGTCCAGGTTACCATTATGGAAATTTCCAGTTATGTTTTTACCACCAATCCTCAAATTCCATATCACAGATTATGTTCTTACTGCATTAATATAAATATTAACAAGACGTAGTGCACAATAAAAATTAAACTTTATTTAGGAACATCGCGCATACTACCCGACAGCCTGCCTGTTTCGCTCTGCTCGCTACTCGTAAGAAATTTCTCCTCTAGGGTTGCCACACTTATCGGAGGGCGCAAGGCGCGCTCCTTATCGCCATCACCACAAGACTTTTATAAAGCGAATTGTCCAAGCGTCGACCTGTAACATTCCTTGGACAATGGGATAAAATACCTCTTTTAATACTAAAAAAAAAAAAAGGCTTTATTGTCTTCGAAATTATGGTGTGCAAAGAAAGTGAAGAATAAGGGTTATCAAATGGATCATTTAAAACACAAAACTATTTCTGTAAATACAGTTAAATATTTCTGTAAATACAATGAAAATAGTCTAAAAGAATGTGTGAATAGCCTTTATAGAATAGTATGAAAAGCAGGTATTAATAATGTTGGTGAATTTAGTGATGATATTTGAGTATATTTTTAGTTGCATCCAGTTCTCTTGCTCTCGTAACATTTTGTCTGCTAAAAGGCTGACAATGTTATTAGGAGCAATGAATTTTAGCATTTTATTTTCAGAAAGGAATTTCAATCATATTAAATCAGAATCTATACCAGGGGTAGCCAAACTTCATGGCGAGAGGAGCCGCATGGTAGATTTTATGAAAGCTCGAGAGCCGCAAATCCGTATTTTTATCTTTTCAAAAATAATAAGACAGATTTTTTTAATAGAAATAAACTTTTAAAGTAAATTATTGAGAATTTCGCATTTTTATATGTGATTAACATGGTTACATGATTATTCGAGAATGAATTTGTTTTCTTATGCAAATGTGCCTGTTAGATTATTTTCCCACACAATTAACATGGGGGCTAACATAGATATCATATCTAGCTTAATTAATTCGTTAAATACTGAATAAATTATGAGTAAAATTTTGATTTTTCTGCGGGTATTCGAATTCTTTAATCTCAGGAATATACAGAAAGATTTTAAATTCCAAACATCTAATTTTAAATTTTTTTCATCATTATAATGTTTTGAATCCTAACCTAAGAAATCATTGAAAATTTTAACTTAAAACTTTGGAATGACTAATTTTACTCATATCCAGCATAGAAAAATTCACTAAAAAATGAACGTGATTGCAATGGTATCTGAATCATCATTATATTTTATGATGGACAGTGTAACATCCAGCGAAATCTACCAGAATTTTTAAGTAACCAGTATACTGCGCATTGTTGAAAATTCTCGAAAGTATCTGTCAAATCGTCCTGGTAATTCTAGAAAGAGATAACGTATTGCTGATAAACCTAGCACTTCAGTGGAAAAAGAGATAATGGTACAAAAATAAAACAAGCATGTAACTACTGTAATGAATTCGTTTCACAAATGCAGATATAATATGAAAGTTTAACAAATTTCTGGGGAAGTGAACAGATCTTCGATATCGAGGCATTTATGATACGACAGACGGCTACATAATCGTCTAGTTCCTGAAGCCAAAGAATATGTATTGTTAAGAAGGAAAGCTCCGCAACAGCAGGAGTGGCTCCCTTCGAACGAAACGGGAAACAGCTGCGCATGCGTAAAATATCTGTCGTCAAAAAGCGCCAAAGCTCGAAGCTGATGTCGAAGTACGAACAGGTTCGACGGTCACGTTTATCAAGATCAAGAGTTTAAAGCTGTGGGACTCCATTTTTCCCCTTCATTTTGACGGATATAAAATCAGACATCAAACGTTCTTTGCTGAAGCCTTGCCAAACAGATCTACTACTCAGTCATAGCGGACGTGAAAGTCTGTCGACTTCAGGTCTCGAAGACCCTAGGCTAAGAAGCTTACAACTTACAAAGTCGTTCGAGGGCAGGAGAGACGTTTCTAAAGAAGATGATTGTTGGAGTAGCTAATTCATAATAATAATGCCCCTCTCAAATAATTATTTGCTTCAAGACCACCAGAAGCATTTGAAGCTCACATTCGGCCTGCCTCTCAACTTCAGTTTTCACGAGGCCGACAGGAAATTTTTCCAATTTTTCACTTATCGATGGAATCAAAAAGAACCCCCTACGTATGGCAAATGAGTCGCATATTTGTTTTCACCAGACTTTCCAGACACTTCACTGGTGACTCAGCCGTAATGTGAAGACGCAACCTTCTGAGTGTCTGAAAAGTAGGAATATGCTACACACTTCTCTGACTCCTATAAGATTAACATTTATTTACATTTATTCATATCGAATTTCACAAAAGAGAAAATGAGTCATAGTTTTGATTTCACGGTGACTTAATACCACCACTCTGAGAAAGGAAAAATCACTCGCGAAGAATTTCACATGATGTTGCCACAGTATCCACTATCCTTCCTACCATAGTGGAGGCCACGTAGCCGGAGAATCCATCCAGGATCAGATGGTTTTGTCTGTACGGCTAAAATAAAGACTTCTTATATCGTGTTCCAATGCTCTTTACATAAGTTGATTCTTTTATCTAGGTTATTAAGAATCCAATTCTTGAGGGTGGAAATGAATGTGAAGTGCCTCATGGGAGCTGTAGCTGAGAATAAGGTGCCGACTGGGACTGGGAGTGGTGTTGCGGGTGATTCCGGGTTATATGGTTAAGCTGCTAGCTGTTACTACTTAAGAACCATGCTGTTGTTACTCTATTGCTACGGTTTCAGGAAGCCCAGTGAAGATGTACTGTAGGTCACACGGAGTTGCGGAACTCCCCTTTGTTACGTAACAATAATTTATTGTTCAGTTAATAAACGGTCTGTTTGCTTTTACAGTCTCATTCCATGGATTAATTTCTTTCTAGGTTAAACGATGCGACCAAGTTATGTGATTTTTCGGTATGGGATAAGAATCTGTAATTCTTCTTCAGTTAATATACAGTCAAAAGGCGTTAATTCGGGCACCCATAATCCGGAATGATCTATAATCCGAACATCAAAGCTAAAATCTTTCTGCGCATGCGCCGCGTTTACGCATGCTCATAGGCGTTTTACGAGTGCGCGCAAGACATTTACGACTGCGCATATGCGTCTGCGCAAGCGCAGAATACGTTTTCGCGTGCGCGTTTAATGTATAACGGACGGTATAAGCTAAAATTATCTAATTATCTATTTCAGTCAATGTTGATAATTGCGTTGTTCCTTAATCTTCGAATTGGATCCGGCTTATTATTTTTTGCAGACTGTAAGAGCAATTTTATAAAAGTAAGCTTGAACTTTCGATTATGTCAAATAGAATTTCCGATGCTGGAGCTCCGAAAGGATCTAGAAAACGAAAGTATGTTTCGATGTCCATCAAACAAAAAACGAATTGCTACAAAAAAGGGATAAAGGTATATCCTTTGTTTATCTAACCGTTCCGAAATCTGTTTATCAATTTCACGCTGCTCTGCCCGGGGGGGGGCGCAATGAACTGGAAGTTGATCTGTCAGCAATATCGTTATCTTCAGGGCAAATGTTTTTATTTTATTCGGCTTATAATTCCTTACTAAATGTAGTATTTAATTTCGATGTACTCCGTCTTTGATATGATTTAAATCAAATTCCTCGTCATTATAAATATCACGAATACCCATCAAATAGTTTTCTGGTTGCAATTTTCTAATTTCGGCTATGCGTAAGATACGCATGCGCGCGTTGAAAGAAATGTTTAATAAAGTAAACAAATAAATATTAAGCTTCTTTTTTTGTAAATTTTGATACCTTTTAGATCATAATTGCTCATTATTTTATAAATTACGGTTTCCTATTTTTAATTTTATAATTTCTGCATGCCATCTTACCAGATTTAAAGTGATGATCTATAATCCGGAAAAATATATAATCCGGAATCTCCGAAGTCCCGACGAGTCCGGATTAAAGACTTATGACTGTACTTCCTTTACCATTCTTGATCGAATACTTTACACATTAACGTTACTCTTAATATTTCTCTTCTGCACAAAAACTGAGTAAAACCTGAAGACTGAAGTTTTTAAAAACGTCTCATTTTAAAATAAAAATTCTTCAAAAATCCTCCGTTAATTTTTGAAGTAATGCTTTTTATGACCTTGCTCTTTTAAAGGCTATTGAAGTTGTTGCCAAACTCTGAATTTTTTTTTAAAAATTAATAAATTCTTTTCCTAGAATTATGTTCTTGTTATGCCTGTTTATCAATTGATATCAATTATTATTCATATTTTTAAAGAAATATTAATTTTTCATTTCACATCAGAAGTAGCTCACTTTTTGAGTTTTGATTGTACGTCATTGAACTCTGCTGTGACTAATACAAGATGGCGGCTGTCAGCGGAGGCATCGAGGCAAAAGTAGTGTGTGAAATTGCATTGTTTTCCAAATTGTTACCGTAGTACTTAAATGGAATGGACGAGGAACACAAAGAACTCTTGAAATTTCACAGAACTCGATTTCTCCAATGTGTAGACATTGATCGTTTGATTCCACTTTTACAATCCAATGGTGTATTGAGCAATGATGACGTGACCGACCTCAGGAAATACAGTAGTTCTGGAGCGAAGGCTGAAAAACTCTTGGATTTATTACCTTCTAAGGGATCCCAGGCTTTTCAGGCCTTCTGTTTAGCCCTCGAAACAACATACCCTCATTTATTAACCGTAATGTTTTTGAGTGGCAATAAAAAAATGAGTGGTAAGTGCATGGGTAGCTAGTCGTGTGTATATTATGATTGATGCTGTCATGTTTATTTTGACCTGAAATTACGAATTACATGCACAGGAACCTTGAAATTTTGAATGATACGTTAAAATTAATATGTGCCTTCAAGTGTGAATAGCTTACTTGAAGAAATTGACTGAAGGTTATCACTATTAGAGCTTAATCCCATTTTCAGTTTTCGTAAGAGCAGCATTTGTTTACCTCTGGTAGTGTTATGAGCGAATGTCGCTCCTATTCTCAAGTTTTAAACTGTAAGTCGGTAACGATGATATTTTCCTTTAATAGTTGAACTTTATTGTACTTTTTCGTGATTACTGTATATCCGCAAAACTGAGATATGCAATTTTTCAGGTTTATATTTCTTTATGCAGATTACTGCCAGATTTAAAATTACAAGAAACTGCATAACTTTTTTGCATGAAATAGTGCAATAATAGTATTAATAAATTTTAGGCTTAAACTCCAAAATTGCCAAAAACATAATAATCACACATATTTAATATTGTTTCATTGTGTCAAAATGGTGAGTCTTTTTATTAAGTAATACATATTATAGTACAAAACAAGTTTCACTTTAAATTAAAATTGCTAATAATCAGGAGTAGATAATATAGAAAATTTCCATTTTTGCTGTGGAAAACTGCAAATTGTGCAGTACTAATATCTTAATATTTTGGAAAGGATACTGCTTTGGATTATAGATTCTGCAGAGTCTTTCTGTTTACTTGGAATTAATACAAAATATTTGGAAAAGAGTGACATTTTCATTTGGATTATAGATTCTGCAGAGTCTTTCTGTTTACTTGGAATGAATATAAAATATTTGGAAAAGAGTGACATGTTCATTTGGATTATTGATGACGCTTCACAGAGTTCTTTTATGATTTAGTTTTAAAACATCTGAAATTCAGTTTTGGTAACTTTACAAATCATTAAATCAACTAATTATGAATCTGTATCTGAATAAAAGAAAAATCTGCATATCTTTCTAGAATAAAATATAACTCTTTTGAATTCATCCCTGATCAGTGTTTATGATACACAAATTATTGCATTTTAATACATACAGTAATAAAATTAGAACTATTGAATTTACACAACAGATTTTTTCTTTAAAATTGTATGGGCATATTGAGTTTCTCATTCATATATATTCTGTGCACTAATGTGAAAGTCAGTCTGTCTTACAATATTATGTTTTTTAGTTACATTATCTCAAATTCTTTAGTGATCAGTATTCACACATGAGAATCTTAATGTTGGTGTTATGCACACGAAAGCCACAAATTTACTGTTAGTTTTCCATTTGCACACTATTTGACTTAACATGTTTGAAACAATCTACTTAAATTGCAAATATAGTCAACTCTCGATTTGATGGGCATGACCCTACACTTAATCCATGGGCAGCTAATATAAGGTATCTCTCTTGCTTTCGTGCTGCCAGCACACTCGTCACATATTCGAGAGATCCGAGTCCCGGTAAAGGCATTGCTCATTTTTCATGTCTCTTACTTCGAAATAAACTGATGTCTCTGCAGTAGTACCTGAATTAAAAAAGATGGTGGATATAAATTAGATGATTCTTCACCACCAGAATTTGGTGATTGGGTCCACTAATCCCCAGTTGCCCTTTAAAAGGGATTCCTGCCTTAGCATGCCTTCGTGGTGTAATGGTCAGCACACTCGGTGGCATTTGAGAGTCCCGGCGAGGGCACTGCTCATGTTTCATGTCTCCTGCTTCGAAATAAACTAATGTCTCCAAAAATTAAATTAGTATTTAAGATAAAAAGGCAGTGTTGATAACAGAAGATTAAACATATTGTAAATTAAGATACAAAGTTATAACTGTGGCATCACTTGTCACCTCTGATTTTATCCTCTATATTTTTTCCTCCATTATATATTTGTCCCACCCATGGCTGAGTGTTTAAAATCACCGAGTGCTGGAAATTTGACCTGGGTTTGATGTCGGATGAATGGGCTGATTGCATGGTTAGTTCTCATTGTTTTTGCCATGTGTAACACGAATATGAAAATTTCTCCTCCGGGAAGGCATTCTATTTCCTAAGTTTTATGTGCTTTTGTTTGTGCCATATTCAAATAACTTAACTTATTTGTATTTCCCATACACAGTTTTATAATTTGTGATTGTATTTTTTGCATTGTTCCTCAACAAGCAAGTTTAATTTTTTTGCAGACAGTCCATTTAATCCACCTCTGATTAATCAAGAGTTGACTATACTTCATTTCCATTTTGCTGTTTAAACAGCATCATTCTTGTAAACTTTAGTTTAGTTATATATTTTCGGTAGTTAAATATTAGATGATGGTTACAAAAAATATAATAATTAAGGTATATACATAATAAAAAGTATGTAAAGAATGACATAAATAAGACCATCATAAATCTGACATTCAATTAAAATAACATATTTGTAATCCTGCGTATTTATTACACAGAATCTTTGGTATCAGGTATTGAAATTTAATTCTTATGGTCTACAGGATTTCTACTGAAGAATTTTAAAAATGAAATTTTTTATGAGATTTTGAATTGTGGATTCCTTAATTTTTAAGAAGTGGAAAACTTATTCATCATTTTAAAAAGTTAGAATATACATTTCTTCCCCTCCCCATTCAAAAAATAACAAACAATATTGCTGTAAATTTATTGAAGTTCTCCCTTAACAACTGAATTATCCTTCTGTTCATAGTTCTTTTTTTTAGAAAATTATATATAAAAGCAGACCCAGCTCCATTATTTCTGGCTCTTAAGTTGATCAATACAATTGGCATCTCATATAAATTAAACATATTAATAATACAAAATATGCTTTTGTTTAGTTGTCACTTGTGAAAACAGCTTGGTTGTTGATTCCCTTCAAAAACTGCTGCGCTATACCGGGTGAATCTGAACAAGTGGGTAAAACTTTAGGGGTAATAGAAGGCACCTATACAAACAATATTCATAATTAGAATGTAAACAGTGAGCCGCTAGGTGATATTATAAAGAAATGGTATAAAAATCGGTCTACGCAACCAACGACATTTTCTAAGGTTGATTGCCGAGAGTTATACGAACCACGAAATTTCCACAGAGACGGATTAGTAAAGGTGGTCCAATAACTTGGCCAGCAATATCATCAGATCTCTCGTGTTTGGACTTTTTCTTGAAGGGTCATATGAAAAGCCTAATCTACGATTGCTCCATTGAAGCCAATATGGATCTAGTCACCAGGATCGCCGTTGTTGCCGCCGATGTTCGGGAAATGACTGGTGTGTTCGCAAATGCACGTCAATCCCTACCACGCAAGTGGGAAGCCTGCATTACTGCTGGCGAGGTTTTTTTCAGCATGTTCTGTTAATAAAATGTTTTCTGAAGTATCTCCTCTCAGTCTTGCGTTAATTCTTTAAATGTGACCGTAGAAAACTACCCTTTAACTTCTCTACGTTCTATGACTAATATTATTCGTATAGCCGCCTTCTATCACCCCCTAAAGTTTTCCCCCACTTGTTCAGATTCATCCTGTATAACTGCCTATGTCACTTATACATGGAGCTAGCCGTGAATAAGAGCTGTAAGCTATTACATTGATTTGCTCTAGTAGCTTGACCATTTTACATCTGAGCATGCCAGACAACGGTCAGTAATTTTTTCAGAATGTTCTCATATTAGCATGTCCCTGTGAATCTCTAAGAATCTATTTATTTATGTTTACTCCATTATCTATATGTTGTTAAGGCTGAGATAATTATCGTCGTACAAATCAAAAATGTATTTCAAATGCCTTTTACATGCACACATCATGAGTTGAATCATGAGTTTAAAATGTCATATTCGAGTATTCTTAATGTCACGTTATTGGACTATTGAGTAGTTACACTAGTTTGCCTCAGAACTATCTGTTAAGCAGTAAGCCAAATAAGAATGGAAAAAAAATTGCCTGTGAAGAAATTACTTAACTTATCAGATTAGACCTAATCAGACTATAATAAAACAAAGTTTTTCCAATTAAAAAGCTTCTTAAATATTAAGTGATAAACATCTTGAGGTGTTTCATGCAAAAATATAATGTTTAGAAAAAAGATAATTTTTAGAAAATTATCTGTAAGATGTAGGATTTTTTAAACTTAATTAAGAATTGTAAAGACTTGATTTTACTGCTAAATGGAATTATATTACTAGTATCCATATAGTTCTAACTAAAAATTTAAAAAAAAAAAAAATATTCCTCTATGTGTCCCATCTTTATTGACACAGTAAGTTATTTTCCCATGTGTAACATTTTATATGAGCCAGTTCCCTTTAGAAAACTTTCATGAAGGCATCCTTTCCCTTAGGCAGTTAACCTTCACATGCTTTGTTGCAATCATCCAGATCAAACTGTTATTGGCAAAACCAGAAGTTAACAGTTGGTTTAAAGCTAATTTAACCGAATAATTAAGAGTTTTTTCCCCCAATGGCAGATTGTGAACAATTACAAATGTAACCCAGTCCATTAATCTATACAAGGCCGAATGTGGTGGTTTCTTTATTATGAAGGCACCTAATAGGTGGGCCACCATCGCCTTACCTATGATGTGACGGAAGTTACAACCATGCCTTCTCCGGGATTCGAACCCAGGCCCTTCGGCATCACAGTGAACTTCCCTGACCACTGTACCGACTGGACGACAATTAAGAGTTTGTTATTATCAGAAGAATGGAAATTGATATAATGAAAAAAACTTAGGGAAAATATGCAGTCACTTTCATGAGTATATTACATAAAGTATGATACAAAAATATTTTTTATACATGAGCACAAATTCCCCAAAACATGAGATATTTAACAAAAAATGTGTAAGATGGAAATAAATATGTTTTAGATCTTAAAAATTAAGCAAATCAACTTTATGATTCTAAAAATGAATCTATCATCAATTATTATTTTTAAGAAGGGGTTGAAGTCAGTTATTTAATTAGCAATGTAAAGTAATTGGAATTTTAGTTAAAAATTATGGCCAGTTCTGTTTAATGTGTCATTTGTTACACAATAGCCCACTTAATGACATCACTACCAATGATGTGTGAAAAATTTAAAGCTTGATTGGAGATTGGGGTCACAGTACCTACCCAGAGTGACATGATGTCTTGGAGCTTTGTCTTTGAGAAATTGCTCTAGTCTAATGGTTATAGTATGTTATTCTAAAATCCAGTTTTGAGATGCTGATTATTTTTAATACTTAATATGTCAGATATATAATATTTTTTAATTTAATTATCCTTTATGTATGCATTTCTGCGCATTAAATTCAAAATGTCATTTTCTCTAAATTTTGAAATATATATCGTTATATAGAATATATTATATATTTGTATTTTATCATTGTACTACTATTCCTGCATTCCTTTTCATTCTATTAAATATGTAATTTCCTGTATTCTAAATAATTAATTTTGCAGTTGTGTTATTTTAGCTTTTATCTGTTTTCTTATTACACACGTTTCTGTATTTATACATAATAGTGATTAATAATTTAGTAGATGCGAAAAAGATGTGGAATATATATCAATAAAATATGAAATAACAATATATAATTATAATGTTTAATATGTATTTGTTTAGACAAACTTTATGATATTCAGTATCAGGCTTGTTAAAAATAGAATAAAGTGTTAAGAAGTGGTGATAATTTTAAAATGTTTTTCAGATACATATTAGCATGTGAAATAATTACATTTTGTGGTGTGGTTAAGTGGTGATAATTTTAAAATGTTTTTCAGATATATTAAATGTGAAATAATTACTTTTTCTCATAATTAATTTTTTGTGATTATATCAGATAACATCATATTTTTTGGAGCAATAATTAGTTTATTAACCTGAGTGGCAGTACTGCCTTCATCTTATGTGATTTTTTTGTTGTTTAGTGTATATTATCTTTTTAATTAAGAGGTTTAGTTTCTTATTTTCTTTAATGGTCATAATATAATCCTAATAAATGAAAACAGAGACCAAAATAAATAATTACTTAAATTTAAAAACAAATCTTCTTCATAGTCTTTCATAGCAGATCCAAATAGCCATGCCACACAGAGGGTTAGTAATAATTTACAAATACAAACTGTTAATACTTTAAAAGAAAATATTCTTCTTGTGTTTAAGGATGAAAAACAAATCATTGTATAGTATAAAAAATGTTTTCTTATATCTTTACATTCTAGAACTCTAGTATACATTTACCTAATTCTTTGAACACAGCTGCATGCCACACAAATTTTAAATTGAAACTAAATCTAAAGTGGGAAAAAATGTGTTTCAGTCTGTAATGAAGCTGCAAACTGGAAAATTAAAATTTGATACTTCATGTAGTATCCCTTTGACCATGAAACTGTCACCAAATTGCACAATTTAGTATCAGTTATGGAAGTGGGAAATAACAACACACTTAAAACATCTGTGCTTTCATTTGATGTAACTGCGGTTGATTCTTAATAAGTCATGTATCGTTCGTATGAATAGCAATAAAACTGTTATTGCTGTATATCAGGATTTCTCAACCAGAGGGGAAGGTCAAGCTTTTATTTAACCATTAAGTATTTAGTTTTAGTTCGTGAATATAAAAACCTATTTTTATTCAAGTTTTGCTACTTATTAGCATTTTCTTGTGTAATTTATAAAACACTTAAAAAATTATCTAAATAAATGTATATGTATTTTGCAAGTTCGGGAAAGGGAAAGAGAGAAATAATTAACTAGCAATGATGAAAGGAGCACATGGGACAAAAAAGTTTGAAAAAGTGCATAGATGTAAATAAATTCATTAAAATCTGAGACCTGCCTTCTACAGAATAGTAAGCTAATGAATTATTTTTAAGTTATAAGATCCTGCCATTAAAAAAAAATATGTTAGTGGACACAATATGGTCATTTGCATATGGCTGACAAAACAATGATAGACTGAAACAGTTACCTGCAGGAAGTTTGTACTCGTGATGTTCTGAACAGAGCTTCCGATAAAATCAGAGAGTGAGAGCATAATAAAATATTAGAAACTGAAGAAAGCCTTTTTCTGAAAAGCAAAAACAAAGGCTTTTGAATAATGTTTGTTTGTTAATGTTGATAACACAGAGGCATCACTTAGATCAGAATTCCATAGGAATGATTAGCGCAACTTTGCTTTGATCTTCACCAACTTTCATGGTCAATGGGATAATATGAAAGTACTTATTTTGGGTAAAGTGCAGAATCACCCACTTCTTTGTTTGGCACTTTTTACAAGAGTAAGAAGAATTGGATTTTTGTCAATTTTCTTTGACTTTTTAAATAAAAATAGGTCTATGTGTACATGGATAAAGTCAAGGGGGTGCGCAATGCCATTTTTGTGCATTTCTGGAATGTTTTTTTAAGTGAAAATAGGTCGATGGGCACATGGATACAGAGTTTGTACAATTCTTAAAAATGTGCCAAGCAGTGGGCGATTCTGCACTTTCCCCCTTATTTTTTGCATTTACAATAACTAATGAAAGTTAGTGTTGTATTGAAAAAAAAAAAAAGTATTTAATTAGTATTTAATCTACAAATATTATCAGGAAAATGAATTTTAATTCTTTAAAAATTTTTTTTAAGGAATGAATGATGACATTTTACGCAGCAGTCCCTCCTCAGCACCTCAGTCACTGTGTTCTCATCCAGAAGTTGATCTCTCTCAAAGCATATTAAAATCTGATCTCCATGTTAATAGTGATAGGGACGGCTGGCGCAGAAATCACCAAAAGGTTCGTATGTAATGTTAAATTTATGCAATAAACACTACTATTTAAAAGATGGAAAAAATATATTTTTGGGTGCCCCTTGACAAAAACTGGCAATTTTTGGCAGTACATGGATACCGAGTTTGTGCAGTTCTTTGACTTGTTATTTTCGATTTGTGTAGCGGTGATTTTTGCGTCAAAAATTGCAGCTGCACTAATCCAAAATAACAAGTCAAAGAATTGCACAGACTCATCCATGTACACATCAACCTATTTTCACTTTAAAAAAAAAAAAACCTCAGAATTGCACAAACTTGGCATTGCGCACTCTCTTGACTTTGTCCATGTACACATCGATCTAATTTTACTTAAAAAGTCAAAGGAGCAGCTAACGAAAAATATATAATCTCAATGAACTACATTTTAAATCAAACAACTAAATAATATAAAAAAGAAAATTCATCTTAGCACTACACAAAGAAAATAACCATGTACCTTATTTAGAAATTTCCCTGTCTTAAGTCAAACAAAATTTCTTAACAGCATCCAAAATCTTCCTAAAATTGTCTGAACTAGAATCGGTTAGATTAGACTGAATTAGTCTCATTTAGAGTTAAAATACATATATTAGAACAGTGCTGTGTATAAATCTAATAAATATCCTAAGTTGCGCTTTCAAGATATGAAAAACACAAGTTGAATTTCGTCAATCAGCCCAGTAGAACAGGAGATATAGAAATGTCCCTCCTCTTTTTTTTGTGCAGTGTACATATGTAAATACATATTTTATTCATCTTCAGAAAAGCCGATTCCTCTCTTATCAGTATTGAAGTCTAGTAAAGCACTGGAATGTTATGTTTATGGTTACTAATTTTAAGCATTTCTTTCTTTAGTCAGATAGAGATACATCGTACCGTAGATTAACAACCAGTGGTGACAGTATGATTTCTTCCCTAAGTACCTTAAGCAAAAATCATGGTAAGTGGAAGTTTTGTTCGTTTGTAATGTAAAATGCTTTCTTAAAAATGAAAGCAAGAGTGTTATTTAAAACAAACATTCCTCATAAAATTATTCCAGTGAATGCTTGTAATGTTACAGATATTTTATTATTTCTCATGCCACTTGATTGATGTTATTTCTTCTAACCAACAATAGACACAATTTAATGTGGACAAAAAAGAAATTTTTGATCCATGTAACCAATTTCCAGCATGGGTGTTCTGACATTATTTAATTGTGCATTGCTGTGTAAGGTCACTGTAAAGTTTCATTTCATAATTGTTTTCATGAAGCCTGATGCATGGTAGAATTCCCTTTTTGTGTGATGCCAGTTGAAATGCCAACCATTTGAAAAGGGCATTTGAGTAATACAGTCAAAAGACTTTAATCCAGACTCGTCAGGACTTCGGTGATTCCATATTATATATCATCAGTTTAAATCTGGTAAGATGGCTTGCAGAAATTATAAAATTAAAAATATTAAACCGCAATTTATGAAATAAAGAGGAATTATGATCTAAAGGGTATCAAAATTTACAAAAAAGCTTAATATTTATTTGTTTACTTTATTAAACATTTCTTTCAACGCGAGCAAGCGTAAAGCATACATTACACATAGTTGAAATTAGAAAATTGCAACCAGAAAACTATTTGATGTGTATTCGTGATATTTATAATGACGAGGAATTTGATTTAAATCATATCAAAGACAGAGTATATCGAGATGAAATGCTACATTTAGTAAGGAATTATAAGCCGAATAATATAAAACCATCTGCCCTTAAGATAAGGATAGTGCTGACAGATCAACTTCCAGTTCATTGCGCGCTGCGATGTTTCTCCTCTCCGCAGAGCAGCGTGAAATTGATAGCCAGATTTCGGAATGGTTAGAGAAACAACGATTATGCCTTTATCCATTTTTTGCAGCAATTCCACTTTTTGTTTGAGGGACATCGAAACATGCTTTCGCTTTGTAGATCCCTTGGCAGCTCTAGAATCGGAAATTCTTTTTGACATAATCGAAGGTTCAAGCTTACTTTTATAAAATTGCTTTAACAGTCTGCAAAAAATAATAAGCTGGATCCAGTTAGAAGATTAAGGAACAATGCAATCTGCAACATTAACTGAAATAGATAATTAGATAGTTTTAGCTTACCTCCGTTCGTTATACGTTAAACGTGCATGCAAAAATGATATGCATTTAGGCATGCTCAGAAAGTTTGTATCTTTGAGGTCTGGATTTTGGGGGGGCAAGGAAGTTTTTCAATAGCATGAACTGGATATTACTTATAATTTTGCACAAGAAACAAAGGATTGAAAAAAAATAAAAGTACTCTCACGTTATCTGCCCATGGTGGCTTTTTTTGGCCAACTTAACATGTGAAAAACAATAGCCATTTCAGCAGCATACTGAAAATTGCATAAAACAGCAACGGATTAACTAGATTAAAAATGCAAGAAATGTCTATAAAGAAATGGCAAACTTTGCAGAAGACAAATATCTGTTACAAAACAGTCAAAATTTCATAAAAACAGCAACAGATTAATTAAAATGAATATGCGGCAAACATCCATAATAAAGCATTTAACTTTCTGTCTTTTTCAGTCATCTGTCCATGTGCATAGCACCTTGTTTTAACTTTAAAAAATAAAAAAAGAGAGAGAGAGAGAGCTGCAGAATTCTTTGCAGAGCAAACAGACACTGTTCTCCATGTACACATTGACCTCTTTCAACTTGGGGGGGGGGGAGAATTGCACAAATTAACTTCATGGAGTGCACATTAGTGCAGGTCTACTAATAGGCAAAACACCATATTTTTGAAAAGAATGTAAAACGTTTTCATTCAATAGTAGGCAAACAGTGGCATTACGTTTTATTACAAAGTAAAAACCCAGTAATCACAACATACAGACATCACGAACAGGAGCCTTGAATTAAAAAAATGCACTGATTATTACTACCGCTACTGAGATAGATGGCGGCATTATGCACTAACATTGTGCATTAGACTGTTCAGTCTGTCTTTTCACATGCAGTGATCTTCAGAGCCCTCAAGATCATTAGATATCTCTACTGTGGTACTTTTGATTAAGTTTGATCAAGTAATTTTTGATTAAGAAACTCAACGATTTTAAAGTGAGCAATGGCAACACCATATGGGGGGAAATATTTTTATTCCCAGCGCGTGAGACTGATTCTAAAGATATGCTCTTTTAAATATTTTGTGATATTGCTGTTGAATTGAATTTTATGGTTTAAGTGCAAAGAACATGATATTTAATAAGCAAAGATAGCACACAAAATGTTAGAAAAAATGCCGTGAATCTTCGGATTATGGTAACTTGACGGAACTTTGCCGACCAACCCTGCTACAGCAACCTGCTAGTTTTTCTTATGGACTATGGACGCCATTTTGTTTTCACGAAGTAAAGGTGTTTTTTGTTTTTTTTTTTTTTTTTTTTTTTTTTTACTCAGCATTTTTTCCTACAATCTGCTAGCCAAATTACGCTTATGCTAAAACTTTTATGGAACAAAAGTGCTTAATCATGATGAAGATTAGGTGCGAAATTGAGAGAAAGTGTAGAATCGCCCTCTGCTTGCCGCGTTTTTAAGCATTGCATATACATGGTATCCATGTACACGTTCGACCTATTTTCACTTAAAAAACATCCTAGAATTGCACAAAAATGGCATTGCGCACACTCTTGACTTTATCCATGTACACATCAATCTATTTTCACTTAAAAAGTCAAAGAAAATTGACAAAAATCCAATTCTTCTTACTCTTGTAAAAAGTGCCAAACAAATAAGTGGGCGATTCTGCACTTTAGCAGCGAAATTGTTTCTAAGTGCTTATTAGCTAAATGGAATTTTCCGAAAAATGTCACATTACATGTCTCATGATCGCTCATTTCTCTGAGACAAAATAATCTGTGATTCGAACTCTGTTCTTCTCAGATTATTGCTAAAGTCCTAGCTAGTAACCTTTATCGCCTTACCAAAATGTCGCCAAACTATCTGTTACCGTATTCCAAAGATTAGCCGAAAATGCTCCTTTGTGCATATCATAAAATCTGAAAGCTTTCAGATTTTTTAAATTTTATTTATTTATTTTATATAGTCCCTGATATTTTGAATCATGCAAAGTAAAGATATAATACGAGGGTAAGGTGAAAAGTTCTCATCCTGACCCAGAGATGGCACTCCAATCAACAAAAATTCATACTTTCCGCCTGGGTGCACGTGTCATTTGTTTGTATGACCATTTTCAACTTGTTCTCTCAAGTAGTATCTTTACATGAATTTTCGCAGTAGACATCTTGCATGTTATTCATTAAAATGGATAAACTTGAATATCAGGTGATCATAAAATTCATTTTGGATGGATTAATCTCTTAGAAAAATTCATCCAAAGTTGACCAAAATTTACAGAGACTTTCCTCCTTCCATGTCAAACGTTAAAAAGTGGGGAGCTGAATTTAAACCTGGTCGCTCATTCCTCGAAGATGACTCGCATGAAAGATGGTCAAAATCCGCAACCACACCGGAGACCGTCGAAAAAGTGCATGATCTAGTGTTGGACAATAAGCGAGAGAAGGTGAATGAGATAGCTGAAGTTATGGGGATATCGGAAGAAGGTCGCCAAACATCTTGCATAAAGAATTAGGGATGCGAAAGTTCTGTACAAGATGAGTGCCACATTTGCTGATGCCAATCAAAAGCAAATGCTCAAATGATTTTTGCAGTAATTTTTGGACGGATTCAGCAGAGATTCAGTCGATTTTGTGCAGCAATTTGTCGCCATGGATGAGACATGGGTCCACCACTACATGCCAGAAATGGAACAACGGTCCAAGCAGTGGGTGAAAGCTGGTGGTTCAGCGCCAAAGAAAGCACAGTCGATCGCATCGCCAGAAGGGTCATAGCCAGTGTGGTTTGGGATGCGAAAGCGATCCTGTTAATTGAATTCCTTGCAAAGGGCAGAACAATTGCAGGTGAATATTAGTTCAACTTTCTTTATCAGCTAGATTGTCAAAGAGAAGTGGCCTGGCATGAAGAAGAAAAAAATCATCTTTCACCAGGACAACACAGCTGTGCACAAGGGTGCACTAACAAAAGGAAAACTGCGGCTTTTGGGGTATGGATTGCTCGGCCATCCTCCCTATTCTCATAATTTGGCAGCCTTCCATCTCTTTCCAAAGAAATTTGTTTCTGGGAAGAGCTTCGCATCCAACGAAGGAGTTGAAAGGGTTGTTGTAGATGAATATTTTCATAACCTTTCAGGCTGTCACATAATGGTGTTGGAGTTATGCTGGACCAAGTGTGTTCAAGTCAAGGGAGTTTATGTAGAAAAATAATATAATTTTTTAACTGAAAGTTGCAATCTTTTGTTGTCAGGTGGAGAACTTTTCACCTTACCCTTGTAGCTGTTCTGAATTGTGGTCTTAGTATTAATTTGTTCCTTTTCTTCTTAATGTAATGAGAAAGTTTTTGTATTTACAGATATTGACTTCCATATAAAGTAAGAGCAGTGTTTCTTTAAAATTTTTGTTAAAAGAATTTTCTCTTTCTATGCGAGCTTGCTTTAATCATACTTTTGTTTTCAGAAAATTTATTTTGTTCTCCTTATCTTATAGGTGTGAGTACTAGTGATCATTCTTTAAATTCTAACCGTGACTATGACACAGTTCATCAGATGAATGATTCACATCATAGATATACTACGAATGATTTTTTACATAAGCAGGATTCATCATTGAGAGATTCTGACTTCTACCATACAAAAAAGGTAAAAAAATTTTGTTTTCCAATTATTATTATATACTGGCAATGTATTACTGTTGCTTGGTTTTTGTGACCGGAATCAATATATGTGCTTTTGAGCTGATATGTAATATATTGTGAAATAATGAGCCATTGTATTTAGAACATTTTATTCACGAAATGAAAATTAGTAACATCTGTAAAATTAATTTTTTAAATTGCTATTTTAACAGAAATGGTTTTTACTTATGTTTCCTGTTATAGAACAATTTGATGGGAAAAATTTTCTAAACCTTAGAAATATCTAAGTTATTTTAGTGAATAAAGAACTAAAAAATTGGCACACTTTAAACACTTGGCAGTTCTTTGAAAACAGTAACACTTTTAACCCTTTTCTTGCCCCTTGATATTTTTGGCAACTTTTATCACGTCAAGAATGGCACCAAAAAGCAATGTTTCCGAGATGGTTACCATTCAGAGCAATGCTGAAAATGCATGTTATGAAAGCAACAAAGGCACTCACCTGGTGTGTTCTTGGCTTATGGTTTATTGTCAGCATTGAGTGACTGCTGCATTTACATAATGTAAATCCTATAGTCCCACAACTGATCCTCCTCCTGATCCCAATACTGGCAATGCTGCATAAACTCCTCAAAATAGAAATGCAAAATGTTATCCGACCATTGTCGAATTCTCTGCGTGCAAAACTACTCTAAATCAGAGTTTCTTAAACTGTGGGTCGTGACCTCAATTTGGATCACAGGACCTGCAGTAGGGATCGCCAAAAATTTTAATAAACTAAATTACAAACAATTCAGAAAATAATAACAACAGAAATTCATTGTAAAAAAACAATGAACATAACATTCTACAAAATAAAAACAGTAAAATAAAATGCACTTACCGTAATACATTCCTGAATAAAATTTTGCCAGTCACACAACGTCTGAACAAAAGTGCCACGATTTTGCTCTTTCTGAGATTCAAAATTTCGGAAATAACGATAAAAACTTTCTCCAAAGTTAACAAACTACACGAAAACCACAATCCAAATATTAAAATCCGCTGACAGCCACATACTTTACCAGCAAACATTTGACTGCAAATCCACACAAGAACTATCAGAAACCCCCTTCTTCGTCGAGTTCTCATAGCAGCTCCGCATTTTAGACTCCATTTTAAAAGTCCCACAGAAATTCCAAAAATATACTTTGATCCTCATAAACACATCCGTGAACAAAAGACTCGTGAACAACTCCAACATCATACCTCTTAATACTAAATTTACTTTCCATACAATCTAAAATACGTGACTGAAATCTTGCCACCACGTCTATCATTACAACATAGGCCATTTCAAAACACACAGGGCATGAACCAACGAGCAATTAAACCACTCCAGCAAAAGATTTTTCAACGTCAACAGGGTTGCCATGCAACACGCAATCACACCAAAAACCAGTGCAGAACACATATTACCACATTTGGTGATATTAGGGCGCATATAAGAGTAGAGCTATAGTTTTATACAAGTATACACTTGTATGTAGTGTTTTTTGTGTTATTTTTATATGCAAAACTCTGAAATGAACTTTTATTATAGCTTTAATTAATCATTTCAATATGAGCAAGATATTTCAAGATTTCTTTTGAGTACTTATATTATTCTGTAATTATATTTATCTGTTTCTCTTTTTTTAGCAAATTATATTGAGGTCACCTAAACTAGAATTTTGATTTCACTATAACTGCTGACTCTTTAAATTTGGATAGATTAAATTTCTTCTATGCTTTTTTATTTAGTAATGGAGGTCACTGTTGTCAAACTGGATAAGGCCACAAAATGTTGGTAGTCATGCATTTTTACAATTCTTTGTTTTGTCATTAATTTATCTCGTTTTGGTTGTGCTAACTAAAAAATCATAATTTGAAATTTCTTGTGTTAACCATTCTTCAACCACTTCTTTTATAAACTACAGCTCATTATTATTGTCATAAATAAACCAATGCCAATAATAGAATAAAGTTAGAAAGATGATTTTGCAAGCATTTAGGTGCTTCTTAGAATGGTGTATTTATATTTTAAAGTTTTCAAATAATTGTTAAATTTTTAAACTTTTTATGTCTTTGTGTGCTAAATGATGTTAAAAAGAAAAAAGGGAAAATTTGAAGGGATGGAAAGAAGTCGTGATTATGAGGAAACAATCATAGTATTTGTTTTGCAATTCAATACCATATAATAATAAATTTCTGTGTGTTATATGAGAAAATTAGTAACTGTGTGTTTTTTCTTCTGGTATCGCTATCTTCAGTGTTATCTCTTTCTGATAAAAAAAAGGAAAAATGTTTTTATTACCTTAAAGTATAGAATGAAAGATGGAAAATAGTTTATAAACACAATAATTCTCATAAAATACTTAAATCATTTTCATAAATTTGAAAGTTTGCTTGATTTTAATGTAGAAAAATGATAAGTTCAGCTTTTTTTTATTTAATTTTTAAGTTTAATTTTGCAGATTTGCAATGTATATTTTCAAGATAGAAATCATCAAGTCTTATAGTCCATTCCATACTAACGAATCTAAAAGTTTCCTGTTTCAAAATTTTAAAGTATTTGAAATGGTGTACCTTTGCGTAGATAATAATAATAGATCTATATCAGAACTTGAGAATCTTAATTCATTCTTGTTCTCTGTGCTTTATTTTTCTAACTATAAGCATTGCTTAGGTATTAATATAGAACTCAAACAGTGAAAATCAGCATTATATTTGCAATGCTGATTTTGATTGTTTGTCTTCTAAATTAATATTTGTTTGGTGTGTTAGTTTAACCTAAATTATTGCTTAGGTATTAAAATGCTTTTATATGATTTATCTGCAAAGCTGTCAAATGTAATATTTCTAACATCGTTTTTAAGTTTTCTGTCCATTTTACTTTTGGTATTGCAATATTGCTTAAAGATTAGAAAAATAGAATCACTTATTTTTTTAAATAAAAAATGAGAAATGAAAATATGGAACTTTTTTTCCTTTCATTTTATTATCTTAATATCTTTCTTTTAAAATTGTGCAATGTTATTTCCTTTTGATAGGGTACTCCTTCAAAAATGGAGGATCAGCGCCATGAAACAATTATCTTAAAAAAGCAATATAATGAATTACTAGCAGATAAGCATCGCTTAGAGCAAGAGATTGAAAGGTTAAAAAGGTTTAGGGAAGAAGATAGAAAAGAAATAAATGATCTCCAAAGACAGCAGCAAGTATGTGTTTTCTAACAAATCCTTCTGTTCATTTTTAAAATTGCAGTAATTTGTTTAAATTTTAGCAGTGTATTTCTTTTAAGTACTAATTGCTTGGATAGTTTCTAATTTGTAATGTTGCTTCAAAATATCATTGTTGTAGTCTGTTATTTTTGAATATCATTGTTGCTCAAAATATTGTTGTAGTCTGTTATCAGAGAGTATATCATATTTTTTAATTACAACTTTGTGTACTCATTTTTATACACCTTTTATGCATGAATTTTGTATTTATGTCAGATTTTGTAAAATATGTTCGAGTAATGTTTCATATGATAAGTAGCAAAAGTCGGTACTTTTCTGTTTTGCCGGTGCAGCCGATAAAGTAGCCAATAGTGGTACGACTGGTGCCAAACGGAATATCCTCGCTAGTAACCTTTTACGCCTCATTTTCAAAACAAGTCGTTGCCATTTCTTATCAGATTGATTGTCTCTTCCAATACTGGCATACAATTACATAGAGTTTTTACCAGGTAGTTCAATTTTATGCTCTAAAGCCATTTGAGGTAATTAAGTAAATTAGGATGAAATCACATCACTCACCCGAAGGCAAAAATATAGAAAAGCAAAGTCAAGGGTTAAATTCATAAAGTCTAAAGAGAATGCACTAAAGAAGTAAAGGGTTGCGGTTTTACATAATTTCTGAGTAAGGTAATCATACAAATTGAAATAATTCTTGCATTTAAACTTGTATTCCAAACTAAGATTTAACTTGAAATTAATGTAAATAATTACTGAGAGAATCAGATTTTTGTAGCGCAGTTTACGTGGGATGTGATCACTTGGGGTCACGTGATAGGAACCTGCGACTCAGGATGTTGAACCATGAAAGCATAGTAAATTCTTAAATTAATGTCTTGTTACAGATGTATTGTCTTTATTTATTGGCTTTTTACAAAATTTTAAATGCTACAAAATTTTACAAAATTTTAAATGTTTATGCCTTCAAAATAATAAATTCTTAGAACTAACATTTGTTAACATTTTTTATGTGCATACTGTATGTTGTCACGAATAACAAAATGGAAAAGTACCCAAAACTCTACTATGCTGCGTTAATTTCATTAAAAAAGAGGCAATTTGTGTTCTTCAGCAGCAAAAATTGTTCTGTTCTTGTGTAACTGTATGTATATTATTAAAATGATACAGAATATACTCAATGCCATTTCTTGATGAATTAGTATAGAAAAGTAAAGCTGAGTTTAAGAAATAAAGCAAGTTACTAAATTGCTGATTTTTATAAAATTTAAAACAAAGATAAGTTATCTAGGTTAGACATTTTGTATTCTATCTCCTTGCTAATCTGTTAAGGTATTTAAGGCTGTAATGTAAGTGATTGTTTATTGCTACGAAGAGAAATTTTTCTAAGTATGCCGTGCATGGTGTTAGAATTATTTTTTATTTAATGAATTAATTTCTTCGATTTTAATTACAGTATACTGAGATTATGCTATAGTGAAATCACTTTTTCCCTAAATGCACTGGGAATAAAGAAATGGGATCAAATGGTTGCTGTGAATACTAGATATAAGAATAATTGAATGGAATACCCCATAAGATAAGCACATCTTGTCGGTTTATTTAGGATTGTGTGTACAGATATTTATAACATGTAAACAAGTTGATAATAAAATTGTGAGATTAGGATCATTGTAATGAAATTATTGTCAGAAAGCCTGGTTGATCAGTTATTATTAATCAGTTAAAGTTCAGAGTTGAGATTTAATAATTTCTCTTTTTCAGACATAAATTTAATGTCTACCAGAGCAAACTTTCAAAGTTGCAGTACAAATATGTTGACTATATGATCTCCAATCAGTGAGTGAACCGACTTTGGCATCTATAATGCGATGATGGGAGATGGACCACATACATGGATTCAATTTAATATTCTAATGCATTGTATAAGGCAGTGGTTTCAAACTGATCCACAGGGCTGCATGTGGCCCCCAAAGTGATTTTATGTAACCTGTGGAATACTTTCCACATAAATTAATTAGTATTCTCATAATAATAATTATTATGACAATAATTTGGAGCAAAATGTTTTCAGTTCGACATTTTACTCCAAATTTATTTTCAACATTTTGCTCCTATTTTCATTAACATTGTAAAGGGTTATGAACTGATACTGATGACCTCCATCTTCCAACCTATAAAATTAATATTAAGTACTTAAGATAATGATCCTATCTCCTTATCATATTTAAGTTAGGGATTAAATCAAAAGTTGGAAAGTGGCAGATAAATTTTTTCTTGAAACAACCCTGCTTAATGTTTAAAATAATTGGTATCATTCTGTTATCAGGACCCAATTCAGAGATGTATGTGCGTATGTATGTGCATTTATGTATGTATATACACATAAATGCACATACATACACACACACATTCGTACGTACAGAAATGGTACAGAGTAAACTGTAAGTGATTTAATAATAAATCTTTCTTTCTTCATTTTCTATCTTGTGCATAACAGCTTGTAGATGGTATTAATTTAATGCATGCTAATTCCAACTATCTTAACAGGAAATGCTGACTGAAAATGGAAGTGAGGCAGCCCACCAGTTGTACTTAAATGTGGTCAGAAAATGTGAGGCTATGAAAGAGGAATACGATAACCTTCACAAACGGTATGCTGACATTGTAGCGTCATACAGTGCTACTGTTTCGAAATTAGAGGTAACTCAGGAAGAGTTGAGTTGTTGGAGGAAGCGTTATGAAGACCTAGCAAATGAACGCAATGCTGCTCTGCATGAGAGAAACGGCCTGCAGCAACAATGCACGGCAGCAATAAGGCAATGGGATAATGCCCTTCGGGAGCGGAATGAAGCCAGAGAGCAGCTTGCCAAGGTATGTTTTTGAAAATATGTGTTTTGTTTAAACATTTTCATCATATATATGCAAATAAACTGTATATATTAAATTAGAACATGTTATAAGGTACAGTAGAACTCCAATTATCCGAATCAATTGCGACTGGACGTCATTCAGATAATTTTTTCCAAAAAAAGGGTCTATGTGCACTTTAATTAAATCCGTTTGGGGCAGCCAAGTCATGCATCCGCTTGACAATGAGAACTTGCATGTGATCACACTCGGACTGATGCTCCATCCACTTCGAGGCATTTTCAAGGTTGACAAATGTTTCACTAGCTGATGGTTCCATGTCTGCTTCAGTTTCGACATTAAGGTCATCTGGTCCTTGACACTTTCATCTTTCACACTTTCAGTAAGTTCATCATCATTTAGAATTTGAAACCCAGGATCTGATGAATCATACACATGTATTCTGCTGTATCCTCAGCACCAGCTTCTGAACATCCAGGAATTTTCAAAAGAATGTTTCTTAATTCCTCAAGTGACACATCATCCTCATCTTCTTCTACCTGAAAGCGATTCAGATAATCAGCAATTCAGATAGTCACAGTTCCGATAATTAGAGTTGTACTGTACTTTCTCCCTCCTTTCTGCATGCCTTCGTGATGTAATGGTAGCATGCTCGGCATGTATTCGGAAGGTCCGGGTTCGGATCCCGGCAAGGGCATTGTGCATTTCTCATGTCTCCTGCATCAAAATAACCTAATGACTCTACAGTGGCACCCAAATTAAAAAGGCGGTGGATGATGATTCGTCACCACCAGCATCTGGCACTTGGGTTCCCTAATACCCAGTCGCCCTGTATTTAAAAAAAAAAGAAAAAAAAAAAAAAAAAAAAAAAAAAGAAAAGAAAAGAAAAAGAAAAACCAGATAACTCTACAGTGTGAATACGTAGTTTCTAAAATATGTTTTATAAAACATACACTACAATGAGTTCAACATGAGCAGAATTAAAGATATGAACACAGTAAACTGTAAGTGAGGGTTTTAAATATCTGCAGTGTCTACTTCCATGCCTCTTGAATTAACTTACACTTTTTCGTTGCCATATATTCGCAACACGCATTGAGATTTTCTCTTTGATGGAATTTGGTCGCTGGACTGTAGCTGACCTGTAACTGTTCTTACTTAACTTCTAATACTTATTTTAAAACTTAACTGTGTTATTGAATTATTACTAGATGTTTACGTTATGGATATTTTATTATTAAATGTTTACAATTTGGTTTGAATAAACGTAGAGTAGTTGAATTTATTAAAGATATTTAAAATCGAAACTACTTCTTCCATTTCGGTGCCATTTGAACATTGGAACATAAACATGCGGTGAAATCTTTCTTAATCGGCAGCAACGGGACCTTGCTGATTCTGGGCAAGTTATTTTTCTGGGTAGTTGAATATGTTTTGTGATGTTGTCTGTGAAAATATTAGTATGTGAAATCCATTGGTCATATTTTTTTCTCCATTGGCCATTATCAAATAAATATTATCAAAAATTGTGCAAATTGTTTAAAATAAAACACTTACATATATTTTATATTTCTGAAAAATAAGATTAGGCATTTTTAAATTAACATATATTATCACATGAAAGTTATGAATCTCTTCGTATCATGACATATAACTTAAAACCTGTCTGCCTGCTTATGAGATTGTTGCTGCAGTTTTCAAAATTCATTTGTACTTAACAAAGCTTCATAACATCATGCCTTGACATATATGAACATTATTCAATAAATTGTTTGAAAGTCTGCAATCTTTTGCCAGCTTTTTTTTTTTTTTTTTTTTTGTGTGTGTGAACTCTTATTCTGTGAGTGTCTTCATCTTCACCCTCCCGCTTGCTTCTCAGATTCATTTTTCTCGTTTCCTAGTATATTTCTGACTATTTCTTTTTCATATTCAAAGAATTTTTTGGAACGTATTTGTCTACATCCACCCAAGCTGGTATCTATTCTTCACCAGCACTATTCTTCTCCAGACATGCAACTGAATCTGAGATGTGGGGCATGAGCACTTATTTGGTTTTAAAAACCTAGAAACTATTCGACTGAATTCATAGATAACAATTTAAGCCAGCGGCTACTAAATTTACACCTTTCCAGGCAGGAACCAAAGTGAATATGGCATCTTTCAATGAGAATTGTTTCTGAAATTCATGGACACTATCTTCAGAATTCACCCATTGATGTGTAGAAAGGGACCACTAACTCATCTCTATATTCTGATTTGTTTATTGGTTATTTAGGCTAGTTACATTGGGCAACATAAGAAATGTTTTCTACATTTTAAGGCTTTAGATTGTAAGCTTATTACATATTTTTTCATAGACCTAAATTCAGGATTACAATTTAGACTTTCAACTTTTTAATATTGCCAATTAATTGCATCCAGGTTACAAGGGAGTTTACTGTACAGGATGTCCATAATTTAATCACTGGATAACAAAATTAAATCAAACTGTAATTTCACAAAGTTAATGGAAATAATTTATATTGATGTAATCTATAATAACTTTTGTTTATTCTACTTTTTTGGAAATGGCTACAGTGAATTTGTTTGCTTATAAAGCAAAATGGAATCATGCATTGAAAAACCAATGTGCATTTTCTGATTATGTGGGAAATGAAATCTTCTAAAAGCAGTTTAGTGGTGATTCTAACATGAATTTAATAAACCATCAATTAAATAACCAGTTAAAAGATGATTAAAACAGCTTCGAGAGACCAGACATGTTTTGCATAAAGTAAGTGCAGTCAGGCCAAGCGTCAGCGATGAAAATGTTTCTGCCATTCAAGATGTGTTTTTGTGTAGTCCCTGTGAATCCATTCACTAGCATGCAAACAGGAATTCCGAGGTCGACTGTTCATAAAGTTGTTCATGAACATTTGAAACTGACTGTGTATACTTGCAAATTTGTCGAAAAATTAAACCTGTTGATCAAGTTGTTTGTAAGGAATTTTCTGTAAATATTCTTGACTGTATCATTAATAATGATCAGATTCTTCAGAAAATCATATTGAATGATGAAGCAACATAGTGATTGTCCCCTTCTTTTCTCATAACCATCAATTAATTTCAATGATTTCTTCAATATGCTGAGATTGTTTTCAGTATTGTAATTAGAAGAAATTCATCAAAACTTCCCCAATAGGTTGGGGCCTCCTGTCATTAGGCTAAACATATATACGTGTTTCTTGATGAAACACTTCCAGGTCATAGTATCGGTAGAGGTGGACCAATTTCATGACCACCCCATTCTTTGAACATCACATCATTCAACTTATTTTGGTGGAGATACCTGAAGAACTGAGTTTATTCTGCAGAGATTAACAACATTGAAGAATAAAGAAATTGGATCATAACAGAAAGAGCTACTGTGACTCTGCAAATGTTTAATAACAAGTGAAGAGAAATCAAGAATATATTTGATATTCTCCAAGCAACTAGTGGTGCTCGTGTTGAAGTGTATTAATATAAAATTCTCTGAAATAATGTTCTGAATAAATTTCTCTAAATAAAATTCAATCAGTCTTTTTTTTTTCCTATCTCTAATTATTTAAAACATATCTTTAAAACCAATGAATAAATTATGGACACCATGTATATTAATTTATTAAAACTTAAATCCATTTTTCCTCTTTATGAACAGTTATGTTTCAGACAAGTTTTGCTAAAAAAGTGAAATTATAATATTTTTGCTTAAATTTATGTAGAAAAAACTAAAAAAAAAAAAAAAATGCTTAGTTTATATTTTGTACATTGGGAAAATTATAATCAAAGATATTTTACACATAGCTAAAAATGAGTAACAGATATTTATCTCAATTTCTTACGTATGTTTGAATGACTATATTTATAGATGTTAAATCTAATTTTTTAGATTATTTTTAAATATTTGTTTGCAAATATTAGTTAGATATATAAAGTACATAACTGATTTAATCAACATTAAATTTTCTGTAAAAAAATTCTGAGTGTGTTAGTTAAAATGTTAAAGGAATGTATTTTATCTTTTTAGGTTCAGCAACAGCGGGATGAAGCAATGAAAGAAATAAATCAGGCTATGGCTGTGAGAATCAAAGCAACTAAAGATCTGGCTAGATTAACTGAGGAGAGAAATGCTGCTGTTCAAGAGTATTCTCTGATAATGTCTGAGCGAGACACTGTGCATAAGGAAATGGAGCGACTGCAAGAAGAATTAACTGAAGCACAAAAAATTATCAAAAATTCCGAGGGTACCAAAAAAGCTACTGCTGAAGAGGTGAATTTTTATACTTCATAATCCCCTTTTTCTTTCATCTGTTTGAAAGAATTATATATAGGGGTATATATAAATTAAATTTATGTTTTTAAGTATTTTACTTTAAGGGTATTTTGGTGTCACAGTGCAGATATCTGCATGCGCATATTTAATAGTTTAATGCAGTATTTAATATATTGTTGCATTCTTATGGGTCTGTGGATTTGGTGTGATTGATAGCAACATTTGATGGAGAAAGAAACACAATTTATTAGCCAATGTTACTCAGGACAGCTCCAAAAACACGTTTACAGTCGTCGAAAACTAAGACAAACACACTGAAATGATCAGCAACATGGCCAACGGTGAAGACAGCTTCAGGGCAAGACACTAAATATAGCTCCCGACTCGGTTGATAGCTCTCAAAGCTCAACACACTCTTCATGATAAGACTCGCTATTCACAATGCTGCTACAATATATTAAGTACACTTGATAGCGTCAATGATGCACACTCTTGATGCTCTAACTTGCGATACACTAGACTATAAGACACTCTCACGATACACTGACAGTACTCGCTACTCCACGTACAGGCTGGGTTTATATAGCTTTTGGCGTTCCTTTGAGAACATTCTGGGCCAAACCGGTAAGAATTCATTCCAGAATGTTCTCCATCCGTGTATGGCATATCGCCAATTTTGTCGCCAAATGGGTGATTCCGTGCCATGTCTGGCAACATTGCCTTACCTTACTATTTTATGGCAACCCTAAACCCGCCTTGCGGAGAAGCTATATTACCACAGCTGGACATTTCGTAAGAATATGTTTAATGCAGTACACGTGCAGATATCTGTACACACATGTTTAATATATGTTTCTTTGGGAGAGGATGTATAAAAGTTGATGTGTACTGTATTATGAGAATTCGAATTTCAGAAAATTTTTCACACAGTGTTTTATAATGTTCTCGCTTGTATCCCCCCCGGAAGTGGATTTCCAATTTTTTTTCCCCTTTGATGCAATATTTTCTATCTCAGGCTTCCTGACAATGATAGAATTGTAGATAAAATATCACTAAATATTCATGCATCGCTAATGCAGTTTGAGTTGATATTCATAAGAGGGAAAATATTCCAAAGAATCATTTGGTTTATTTCTGCTGCTGATGATGATGATGTAGCGATTTAGTTATTATTTTGTCAAGAACTCAGTATTTTATCATTGTAATGCAATATGATGTAACTTGCACATAGTGTTATTATTACCTAAAAATAGAAATCTTTACTAAAATGTAATTATATGTTGAATGATTATTGAACGTAAGTTGTATAATTTTTTTTTTTATCTCTAATAAAGCAAGAGAAAATAAAATGGTCATGAATTAAGCAGTGTTCTCTATTTATAAAAAATGTTTAGTTAATATCTACTAGAAAAAATTGATAAACATGATTAGCAGATTTTTTGCAGGTAATACAAAAACTCATTGATGAGGTTCATTGGTTAAATTGATTATTATTCTGGTTATCTGCACTCCTAATTTCAACATATGACATAATTGCCTTGTTTTTTGGATTTTAGAATTTATATGCAAGAGCTAATCCATGCATGCGCATACCACATGTTTCTGAGTACACATAGATTTTTTATTTTGTCATGAAACCTCTTGTTAATGTTTCTTTGTATAAAACCTCTTATAAAATGTTCCTTTGTATTATTATTTATCGATGAGACATAAAGATCAAGTGAATCTTTTGAATGACTAATTTTATCTAAATATATGTATGATGATGGACTATATCTCATAGAAGTGTTTCTATTATTATATAATGTAAATATTTAATGCTTCATTTTAAATTTTATTAGGTGGAAACTCTGAGAAGAGAAATTTCATCAGCTTTGCAAGATCGAGACAGGGCACTGAAAGAATGCAATGATCTGCGTGAAAAATATGGTGATTATGTGACTGGTCGAGAGGAAGGGCAACGTGAGAAAGACTGGAGGAAATGTGAAACTCATTGGGATTCTGTTGGCAGAGATAATTCCAGAAAAGAACGTGATAGCCAGTGGGAGAATTCTTGTGATGGAATCATAAAAACTCATGGTCAGTGGCTCGATGATTTAGATCAGGCGAACAGAGAAATAGAAAGTTTGCGGCGACAAGTAGAAAGGTTACAAGCAGAGTTAGTAGGCAAGTATATATGAAACTTGAAATAATAATAATGCAAAGCCTCGGATTTTTTTAGGGGGGAATTATTAAATTTTTAAGTATGTAGCACTACATTTAGAAACAGGATTTTTGCAGTAATATTATTTTCATAAATTTAAAATATTTATTAGAATTGGTGAGAATCTTAACATCCTTTTGTTGAGCAGGGTGAGCTCCCATCTAAAATTAACAATGTAATATTTAATGGGAAAACACAAAGAAAGCTTATTTGTGTTTCACATAAAGATATATGCAATATATATGCAATATATCTATGTAAATAGGGTACAGTATGCTAATGTCGTAACGTTTCCGGCTTTTATTTTATATCTCTCTTTTCTGTGTAATAATTTATAAATGAATTGTAAATTGCTAATAATGTGTACTTTACCGGTGAAAACAATTTCATTGTTTTTTACTTCTTTGTACGAAGTGTAAAGGAAATATTGTAATCGTGAAAATTTTAAGGTATATTTCGATGGTAATATCCATTTTGATTGCTATCAAATGTAATTTAATGAGGTTTTTGCATGACATCTGTACATAAAAACGCTATAAAGAACTTTCCCAAAACGGTTTGCAAAAAGGATTTAAAATGGATTCAGAAGAGACTTTTTTTGTGGCACCTATATGTACGTATCTCGCATAACTCAAAAACGAGTAGCCTTGGAACTTTGTGTATATGGGACTGCTATAACATGTAGTTATGCACCTTCCTTTTTGGTTGCAATTGGTCGCACCAAAATTATATATATATATGTATATACTGCTCCATGAGCTTAGCTTTTTTTTTTTTTTTTTTTTTTTTTTTAAATGTGTTGGTAAGTGGTGCATTTTTTTACTTTAAAAATGATTAAATTATGTTTTTCTTATCTTCTTGTTAGGGTTTTTATGCCTTTAGTTAATCTGCATGCAATAGTTGTAGAATTATCAACAATTTAAATCTTGTTTAAATGCAATTGAGCCTAATGTTTTACCACAGCATTACATTTGAAAGCAGAATAGTGATTTAAGTCAGTTTCTGCACCTTCAGTGTCTTTTTGTGTTTTTGCTGAGTGGGACCAAAAGTAAACTTTCAGTTTTGTGCACCGAAAAGTCTGCCTTCTTGCCCATTGGCCGAATAAATTGCTTTTTTTGTGTGTAGAAATTCTAATTTTAATAGTAAAAATTTAATTTTTTTAATTGTTTTTAATTGTATTTGGTGTTTTATATTTTTCTATCTTTTTCAATTTTTAATAAAGATATTTTGAGGTTTTATGTATTTTTGCCTTGCTGCGAAGTGAGAACAGAATTAATTGAATAAGAAATATATCTCTAATGGAAATTGAGGAAATAAGTTTAAATGAAATGCAGGAAATAATTCCTATAATTTAATATTCCTTACAAGGAAGTCGTAGTGTAGACATCAGATTTTTTAATGTAGTGGAAGTATTAGTCATGTTTTTTCTCTCATTTAATGTTATAAAATAATAACATTTATATTAGTATTAAATATTTATGCAGCAGTAGTTAAAATGCATCCCTTTATAATGAATTCTGATCTATATCTGTTTTTTTAAATACCTGTGTTATAATTTTTGTTTTTCATATGTTGGAATTTTTATTTCATCTTTGAAGGTACAATGAATTTCAGAATTTAATTCAAATGAAAGGCTAAAACAATATTAATTTTTATCATTTCTTTTAAATTTGAATATTTATATATTTTTAAATTAGTATTTTAATATTATTATTATTATTATTTTAAATAATAGAAGCCCAGCAAGAAGCTGAAGTTTGCAAGAGGAGACGTGATTGGGCTTTCAGTGAAAGGGATAAAATAGTTTTAGAAAGGGAAAGCATTCGATCATTGTGTGATAAGCTGAGGAAAGAAAGGGACCGGGCAGTCAGTGATTTAGCAGAAGCTTTGAGAGATTCAGATGATGTGAAAAGGCAGAAGAATGAGGCATCCAAGGAGCTGAAAGAATTAAGGTAAATTAATTTGATAACTGGAGTTAAATGTTTATGTGCTTACCACAGCTTAAACAATTATCAAAGATGAGTTATGTACTTTATCATAGATTATATGATGTGAAATCATTGAATTTCTGGTGATTTTAGATTCATGACGTTGCATTTTCATTTTTTAATAGAAAAATAAATACATTTTTTGAAAAATTTCTGTGTAAATGTAATTACAAAATTACATTTACACAGAAAGTAATTTATTCCTTGTGAAACGAGTAATTTATTTTTGTCATTATGACTTAAAATATTTTTAAAAGCTCTCAGTGATTTTTGCTGAATTTAGTTGTAAGAGTATATTATTATTTGTAGTTTTCTGGGTTGTTATGTCGTGTTTGTTGTAGGATATCTTCTGAGCAATTTATACTGCACTTTCTCAGTATGATTTCTGTACATAATCACCCATATTATATCAACAGACTTACGCTTTTTGTCATTCATTTTGTTTACATTCATTTCATAGAATAATTTGTTTTTCATTTCACACTTCTAAACAACTTCCTCAGTGACCATTTGACATTTACAGAAAACAGTCTTTGTTTTTTGACTTCTGTACCATATTCTGGTGAGATTCTATTGGTATGAGCCTTTTCTGACAGCGATATCTAATCATGATGTTGTCAGCCACTTTTCTGACTTTCCATTCATTTTCCACTTGGGGCGAAGGTTGTCCAGTATTATGTCATATTGATGAAATAGTATTTTGTAGAATGATGGCAAAACAACCTTGGGTGACAGCACATATTTCATAGAGAAAAGAAATATGAGATCAGAGTAGTAGCTGATTAGAAGATCTCCTCAAACCTTGTGGCAGACAACTCTGTGAAGTAATAATTTGGTTGAAGCAAATCTGCTGAGACATTCAATATGGTTTGGTTTATTTAATTATGGCAAAGCACACTAGGGCTATCTGCCTCAAGGAAAGGATGCCTTTGTGGAGGACTTTCTAAGGGAAACTGACTCGTATACACATTACACATGGGGAAAACCACGAAAACGCCCATGCGGCCAGCCCGTTCGCGGGATTCGAACCTCGGACCAAACTACCAGTGTTCAGCGACTTTACCGCTCGGCCGCTTTTGGGCCTACCTTCAATATGAATAACTTGATTTCTGATCTTGCCAGAAGACATTTCACTTGCATAAATATGTGGAGTTCTACAATTAATAAAGCTATTGGTAGAAGGTTGCAAAACTTCCTTAAATTGTAAGAAAAGCATTTGGGCCTCTAGTGGCTATTAAATTACATCTAGTTAACGTTAGAAAGTCAAGACACAATAACACGCCGAATAAATACTAATTCAGAAGTCAAACAACCTATTTTTCCTATCTTGTTCATTTGCGGTTTTGCAGCTGAGGATGGTGGTTCGGTAAAACAATCAAAACTAGTCCTGTGAAAATTTTGTAAATGCTGATTTTTGTTGTTTGACTTCTGAATTAGTTAGAAAGTCAGTTGGCATTAAAAAGAGGATGGAACACCAGGATTAGATCGAACCCATTCAAAGGTGGGATGCAATAACAAAGAAACAGCATTTAGCGTAACAGAAATTGCTGATTTAAAAGTAATAGCAGAAAAAATGCAAAATCCAATGCATTTCTATTTTGAAACAAAATGCTAGAACCTATATAAAATAAAGTTCAGCAAGGAAATAAATGTCACCAAATGTAGTAGAATTTTTGGTTTAAAAAATTACCATTTACTTTTTCTTAAGCTTCAAGAATGCCAACAATAAATACCTTTTCTCCTTATTATTACCTTTCCAGAATTAGGCAGAGAAAAATTGTTTTATGGCCCAATTTAAGTAAAACTGAGATTGTTTTCCAATTTGGAGAGTATGCTGTGAGAGATCAGCCAAAGATAGACCTTGACATTTTTTTCCCTAATTAATCTAATTTTAAAATTTTTAGTATGTAATGGAGCTTATGGTTTTCAGAAATTTGGAGTAGATAACTTAATAATTACTAAACTATCACAATTGCATTGAAAATATGAGCTGCAGCAGAGTTCTTTTTGTACGTAGACACTTTCAAAAATAAATTAATTAAAGTTTCTAAGGTAATGGAATGTAAGCAAGATTGTAAGTAAATGTAAAAGGTTGTCATAAATTCAAAATAAACAAATGTTTAAAATTATATTTTACTGCATGATTAAACAAATTAAGTTCACATGGAGTTAAGTTAACGTGCTTAATACTTATGTATTTATAATCACTGTTCTTAATTCTTTCTCTCTTTTCTGAATGTTTGAATAAATTAAGTTTGCACATATTCAGCATACTTAATTAGTAGTTTGGATTAATTAAGAATTTAACCTTCGGCTATCATTATTAATTTTTTGTATTTGCTAAAAAAATAGAAAGTTATTTAACAAATTGACTGAAAGATTGATTAGCCAATCCTAACAAGTGTACATTTAGAATGGTTTTATAATAGTATATTTATAATAGTATTAGTACTTTTTTGGCCACCCAGATTGTATAGTGGTTAGGGGAGCTGACTACTGTACCGAAGGGTCCGGGTTCGAATCCTGGAAAAGGCATTGTTGCTATTGTCCATCCCTTCATGGGAATTAAAGATGGCTGCATATAAGGTTTGCAATAAAATGGACACCTTTTTGGCCTTAGGAGTAAGGCAAATGTCGAAAAAAGACAAAAATAGTGCCCAGCCGTTCAAAATAATAATAATAATAGTATATTTTGAAATATTTTAAATCTGCCTGAAAGATTGTGTGTGAATATTAATTAATGTCTTATATTATTAATGTCTTTATTATTTTATAGAGAGAAAATAGAAGCTCAGTTAGAGAAAGAGTCCAGAATGAAGCAGCTAAACTCTGTGGGAAATACACACAGTAGAGATTCAGCAATTGATGCTGACATGCAGGAGTGGGATACGGAAAATGTTGAAGTTTCTGTTGTAAGTTTCATCTTCATAAAAGGATTACTTTAGTTTTTAAAATTACCTTTAATCTCGGCATATATTCGTTAATATTTAATACCATATTCATTCAAATTGTATATATATTGTCACTTTTCAAAGAAATTAATGACCTTCTGATAAAGCTAAAGGTCTGTAACTTTTAATATCGGCGGAAAAGTGATCCTTATATGCAAAAAATTTGAATATGTAATTGATGTAAAAGACTTAAAAATATGCTGAATTTTTGTAGTATATGTTATTACTTGTTTTTATGTGATCAAAATAATAACAGCAAGTAAAAATATAATCATTGAAGATAATTTGTATTGGAACTTCCAAGGCCACTGAGAGCAGTATTACGTAATTAATCAACTGCTGTTGATCAGAGTTGTCAGCATCCATTGATGTATCCATAGATGTATGGTTCTACTTATTAATCTGATATAAAAACAAGGGAAAAAATTTCATTTACCTTTTCTGATGCATTGGAACTTAAATCGTGATGTCTCAGTTGGCAAGAAGAATCTTCTTTACAGAAAACACAATTTGTTTTCTTCACACCATGATTTTATTTATATAAAACATTCAAAAGGAAAAAAAAATTAATATTTAATTGCTATTTCTTGTACAGCCTTTCTTTTTCACTCATGGCTGTACGAATCAGTTATTCGTCCATCCAGGCACAAACTCAAAACTGAACTGTCCATATTTTACAAAAAAAAAAAAAAAAAAAAAAAAAAAGAAAAAAGAAAGAAAAGCAACAAGGTTTAAATTTTCTTGCATTAGTGGAACCTGTGGCACCATCGAGGAAGGAAAAGAAACACTTCAACATAAATACTTAACAAGCAGTAAGAAGAGAAAGCAGTATAAGAGGTGAACTAGTGATGTGATGTACCTGCAGTATGAGAGGTAAATTACATGCAATATCGATTTGTGTACTCATATAACGAACTACCGTACATTTATCATGATCTTTCATTACTCATAAAAGGTTGATAATTTGAAAATTATGTAAACTGAGATGTATGTTAGGAATTCCTGAATGTAATTTAATACTGAAATCCTAAAAATAACTGGCTAATTTGTCATCACTAAGAAAGTTGTGGCAATAAAAAGCTTCAAGAAATATGAAGCTTGGAATTAGTTTGTTAAAACACATATAGCAAGTATGATACGAGGCTTTATATATATAAAATAGGAGTATAAATCATAGGTATCATCAGTACACAAACTTTAAATGTGAGTATATTTGTTGAAGTTACAAATATGATGAAATATTACATTAGCAATGATTATCCTAAAAGGTAAACAAAATTTATGTGTAGTCATCTTTATTGTACAAATAAAGATAGAAACAAACACAAGAAGTATGAAACTACAGTCTGTCTATCATTAGAAAAGCTCTTGCCAGTTAGTCTTCAGCTGTCTGTTGCTGTAGAAACAAGCCTTGACCCATTTTCCGTAGCGGTGTCTTGAAGACGAATGATAAACTGTTTTTCCCCTCAGCCAACAGTTGCCAAAAACAAAGTAACAATAAAGCAACCCTTGGTTCGACTCTATTTGAAATATACTAGTCCTGTTGCTATAACAACCGCCACCTGCCACACACATTTGCGGGAACTGTTCTTCTCGTAGACAGACAGTTCTCCATCATGGAATTTCTCTTGTCATATACCATGACACTGTAGAAAAATTTTCTAATACAAAATAGCATCCGGTAGTCAGTCATAGAGTCATGTAGCAGAAAAGATAAGGAAAACATTACTATGTCATTTTGCTGTACTTCCAAAAATTATTTTGTATAACTAATTGAGGAAATTATAAAATTTCTATTTTTGAAATAATCTGATATAATTTTGTGCATGATTGTAATATGTAATTTTAAATCAAAAATATATCCTGTAAACATTTTTTTTAAATAATCTTTTGGTGATATTTTATTTTCTTGTTTGATTGTATTGGTGTGTTTCAAATATAAAAATAATTGATTTTAGAAAATTTCTTCGGAGGATGACCTGGGTCTGGAACTCGGAGGTGGGAAAGGAGATAGTTCAAACAACTGTGAAAATCCTGTTTTCATTAGAAGTATAGCCAAAGGCAGTAGAGCTGAAGGGAAGCTAAAGTATGTTTCTAAGAATTATGTATCTTAAATGTTGGGTTTTCTGTGTATACTGTTATGTAAAAGGAGAATTTCATATTTTTAGAGTCAATGACTGCATCGTGAAGATCAATAATATTGACATGTGTAATGTTGACCGGAAAACTGCCATGGAAACTTTAAGAAATTGTAATGGCAATGTTACATTGGTAAGCACATGATGATTTCTTATTCTTTAGATATAGTTTAGTTTAGAAATTTCTTCTTATCAGTTTAAATTCTTTTCAAAGCTACATGTTTAATTTTAAATACTGAGCCAAACTAAACTTTGAACTTATGTGTAATAATAATGCAACAAAAATCTTGTAAAAATAAAAACTACAAAATATAATTGAAAGTTCACTTGATACACTTCCATTAACAAAGCAGTAATTAAAATATATGCAAATATGAAAATGAGAGCGGTATCGTGTTGCAAATTGCACCAAATCTCATCATTTTTCAATCCAGACATGTTTTTCACATGAGATTTTAACTCATTGCTGTGATTTTTTTGACAAAGGAATCAAAATGGAAGAACCTTGCCTTTAAATTCTATAACTAAAAAGGGATTATCCATTGTGAGTGATATTATTTAAATAACTACAAGTATGAATTATGTTTTAATGTGTAATAAGCACCAAAATGCAACACCAATGATCATGCCAAGCAAAGAAAGAATTGTGAACCAAAAATTCTTCTGATAGCTTGTTATAGATATAATATTAGAATAATAATTCATTTCATGAATCCTTGAACTATTTTTCTTAATTATTTATGTGCAGTGATGTTTTCAAACAATGATGCATCATGAATGTGCTATCAGTTTTTTTTTTTTTTCCATTACTGTTTTATGTTATATTCTATGCCGAAATTTATGTTTAGTCATAACATCTGCCCCATTAATATAAAAGTTTTTCCTTTAAAATATTAATGGCTAAATTCATTAGTGTAATTTCCAGAAATAAGGTTGTGTCAGTATAAACACTGCACTTAGGGAAAATGGGGGGGGGACTAAAAGAAGCACTCCATCAGCTTAAATGCAGCACTGATAGTGTTAAATTGCACGAGACATCTCCGTGAACATCATAGTTGAAAAATCTTGCCCTACATTATGATATAGGGCATATGAGTTAAGAAAAATGGATAAAATGAAACCATAATTCAAAAATAAGTTTATGTAAGAAATATTAAAAATATACTTACATTCACTAATATACTTATTACATTTACCACTAAAGAACTCCATAACATAATACTCATACTATATTTTAAAAAATACCGTAAAAGTAAGATATTAAATTGAATGAGAAAAGAAAATTTTAAATTTTACTTTTGCTAACAAAGCCAATTATAGCAAATTGTATATTATATGAAGATGTCAAAATCTGATTTTTCACTATCTGAATAAAATGATTTAGCAAATGCTGATGTAAATTAGGATCTAAATATTTCAAAATCTGCCAGACCGTCACATTCATCCTCTTGGCTTTATTGAATCCTTTTATTATTGATGATATTTTCACCAGTTTGCCCTTTTTGACATTTACCCTTTTTGCAAATTCTTCATAAGATGCTGTATGCATTTTACCACTTTTTTGATTATTGACACTTTTGATAATTGGATCTTTCACTCATCCAACACTCCCACTGCTTTCAGACTTCAGCTTTCAAGGATTTATCAACTGAGAAATCTAATGGTTGTAATATCTTTTGAAAGCCACCAGAAATTATTGCTAAGGTCATAGACAAATTTTTAACATGTGGTTTTCACTGAATTAAGTAATTGAGAATGCATGGGATTCATTATCAACAGTCCTTTTGGTTAGAAAAAAAGATCCCTTATACCACTGCCGAACTTTTTGTAGCCACTCATGCATGATTGTTTGGCACATCCATCCATTCTCGCTTGCACAAATAACTATGCCATTAGGAAAATCTTCCTTCGGAATAGTTTGCCTTTTAAAAATGACACTGGCTTTAGCTTGTCACTGTTCATGACACAAGCTAACATAACACATTTCACAAACATATTTTTATATATGTTAGCTTTTGTCATGAACAGTTCGCTTATTCCATGCTGCTTCACAAACACAGATACAGTTTTTGCACCAGTTTGATCAACAATTCTATTTGTAAGAAAGTCAAAAGCTAATGGTGTTTAATCCATATTTATTACCTGAGGTAGAAGAATTTTTATCTCGTCAATAATATCTGTAACATATTTTAGAAAAGGATCACCTGGTCACAAAGTGGCTAGTGCGTTGCGCAGCTGCACCACAGGTCCTGGGTTCGATCCCCGGGCTGGGCATGGTTGACTCAGCCTTTCATTCCTTGAATGGGTTGATAAAATGAGTATCAAGTTCACTTGGGAACTAAATACCGAGGGGGCTGCGACAAGCTGACCATTTGCCTAGGGCATTTGCTGATGCATGCTGGGGGCCCAAGGTAAAGAAAGCTTTCAGGGCACTGCAGGCCCTGGCCCACTAGGGCTGTTGTGCCACTAAGTTTAGTTTAGTTTAGGTTTTATTTTAGAAAAGAGGCTTTTTTATCTTACCAAGTCCATTGTTAATTACTGTCTGACTGCTGTTCTAGTATGCAAAGAAATATTTCTTTTTTTTCATAATTCGTTGAAACTGCCAATCTCTTTCCTCGTCACTCCTTTAACTACTTTGCAAGGTCATCCTCTAGATTTGGCCATCTTGTAATACCACTTCTTTTGGCTCGTTTCTGTTGTGGGATATTTTCAAATTATTCATTTTCAGTTTCCAAACATCAAATGCATCGCTCATTCACTTCAAAATCTCAATCTGCTGCACTCTTTCCAATTTGTTCAGCATGGGAAATTACATTGAGCTTAAAACTAGCAGCATAACTTCTATGCCGTTTAGGTGCCATTTTAATAATTTTTTCGCTCCCTTCTTAATTAAAAACTATTCAAAAAGTACTTATGCCAAAGCTGATGGGATCTGTAGCTGGCAGAAAGCCAAGGAGAATCGATTCAAACTGATGTGAGTACTGATTTAAAAGAGGGAAGCATGTAACTGCTAACTGCTCCGAGATCTCATTTAGGATGAAAAGGCAGTTAGGAGTGTTTAAGGGAAAGACTGCTAATATCATAAAGTTTTCAGAAAGCAACTGGGTGGTCTTCTGTGTGGGAGCAGCTCTGAGGTAGTCCAAGCTATTTGCAGTGGCAATCTTAAGAAATATTGTTTTAAGTGCACATGAGTGCCAGATCAATAGAAAGGCCATACCTGTTTAATATTTAGGTTTCAAGCACATGAACTTTCACTGGTTCTTCCAAAAATTACAATACTTGTTATTTCTCAGGTTACAAAAAGGTTAATTTGCATTATTTTAAGTATATTATACCATTATTAGTCCAAAGGGACTTTGTCCACAAAGGACTATTGTTTTCGTTTTGTGATTTTGTGTTAAATCGTATAAATGTCCGTTTCATTTTTCAAACTGTCACCACTAAATGTTAAGAGTCCTGCATTATATTTGAAGAAATTAAATAATGAAAAATCTGCATTAATAGATGTTTTTTTCTCTCATTGTGATAAAACAACGGAACATGGAGCCATCGAATTTTGAAGACGTAATCCTCCTATGAATATGGGTATGTAGAAGACAAATTTGAAATTTGGAATTTGTTTTATTATCGATTTCATATGAGGGGGGGGACCTTTTTATCTCAAGCGCGCGGAACTGTATTTCGGAAATTTTAAAGATAGGCTCATTTTAAAGTTATTTTGCGACATTGCTCTTGAACTGAATTTTATGGTTTCATACAGGTTTTTATGCACAGAACATGATATTTAATAAATAAATGTAACACACAAAACGTTTAAAAAAATGCCTCTTTGGACGTAATTTAAAATCTGAAACTTTTCAGATTTTTTTTAAATTTTGATTTTATTGAACTTGATTTTGATTGATTTAGATTAGATTAGATTATTTGTTACAACAAAGACATCGAAGGCAGTTTGTGTTTAAAAAAAAAAAGTTTTTTCTACGTGTCAACTCTTTCTGTACAATGATTTAAGGATAGCTGCAAGTATAGTTATGTATTAAATATTTTAATTTTAGGTTGTAAAAAGAAGAAGAATGACTAATAGCCGGGGAGTAAATAATGTCATCCTGAGTGTTCATGGTGGTAAACACCATGGCTTGGCTGTTGAAAATGGTGTTTACATTAGTAGAATTACTCCTGGCTCTGTTGCAGCTCGAGAAGGATCAATAGCAGTTGGTGATAGATTGTTATCAGTAAGTTTTGTGTATCTGTTCTTTTAGTTATTTGCTAGTGCAGGCATCTCAAACAAAGATTGCATGCAGGCTACATGCACAATCGGAAAGCAGCTGACAGGCTAGAACATTTTCTTTCAACAGAATTTAAAATATTGTTAATAATAATTAAATAAAATTTTAAATTTTACTCAGTGAATATTTATTAAAACATACATAAACAAGAATAATAATAAAAAGGAAAAAATTCAAATTTATATTTATTTTCTATCTAAGTGAAGTTCCTATAAAAAATTTCTGCTTTTTATGCTCTGTAATTCAAATGCATTGACAGCTAAATGTCAAATTTTAGACAGACTTTTATTTCAGGTTATTCCTATATGTTGAATCACCCCTTAACTGCCACAGAAAACATACAAGATTCACTCTCCAGTGCCACCGTTTTTTTACATAGGCGCGCGTAGTTATGCAATGTATTAGGAGGAAAATAAGCGCAAGTTTTGCTGTCTAAAAACTGTCTACTTTCACAAAATAAAGAATAAAAGAAAAAATGAAAATACAAAATTTGATGTTTAGAGTAAAAGTGTACTGAAAAAGATGTAAGTATAATAAAAAATATTCCAAAAAATGGAGTTTTCGATCAATTTATTTGTATACCAGTAAAGTGTAATATCAGGTTTCAGTGTTATACCTTTTAAAATCAGTATACATAGAAAAGCGTATATTTCTTCTGAATGGGTTGGATGCCATGATTTTGTTCTTGACTTTTCTTTTGCTGGATGATGGTTCATATACTGGTCTGCTAAACGGTTAGTTTCAGGAAGAATATGAAGCATGAGCAGTTCATCAAAAAATAATTCAAAAAAGAATTGTCACTGTCAGACATATTTGTAAAAAAAGGCAGCTACTACAAGCAGTAAATTAAAATGGAAGACACAATAGAAAAAAATGTTTTACTGAAACAGAAACATGAGCAATAACCATGCAGTTATAACTTTCACTGTTTCAGAAACTTACCCCTCTCCAATCCCCTCTTCTCTGAAATAGTGTTCCTTCGCATACTCTTTCAGGTCATTGTGGTGTTGCATTCCAAAGCGTTGACTGGAATAATTTTACTGGTAGCAGCAATAAGCAAATGATAGTATTTTGGAAGAGCATATATATATATACACACACGTCTGGGGCAGTTAACGTATCGGCTAAGCAAGCTGTATATATATATATATGCTCACGGCAGTTAAGGGGTTAAAGAACTTACTTTTAACCTTAATTTGAAATTTCAGAATACTGAAGCATAACCAGCTGTTAGCTGGAAAATTAAATTAACTGACTATACCAATGCGGAAAATTCTTCTATATTCCCTTAGTCACATGACTTGGCGTACAAACTACCAGTGACAGAATCCTTACCTATACATTTATCTATTATTTCACTTTCTCCTTCAGTACCAATCGGGAACATTAGTTCAATACATATTTTTATATCTCTAAAACTATAACCATAACCTACGTAATTTCAACAAATATATAATTAAAATGCATTTGTGGGCTGCAAAAAATTGCTTTGCTTTGGGGGTAACAATCTTGAGACAATTGTGCAAGTGAAATGTAAGTGCTGGAAGCATATTGTGCTTTAAAGCCATGTCAATATCGTAGAATAAATTACATAAATGCCTAATTCAGATTATTTGAAGGGGAGATGTTGAAATTGTTTTCAGCGTCACTCTGGCATTTGTGTTAAACAGTGTGTCATTTAGACTCAAGTACATGAGAACCGAGAAGTAGAGAAAATTAAAATGATTATATTTTTAATTTTGTGTAAATAGACTAAATGTAATAATAAATTAGAATATCAAGCAGATTTATTGCAGATAATTATAAATGATAAAGCATTCAAATTTTTATGTATATCTTCCCAGTATTCATAGTTGTTTTGGTTAGGTGTAGTTATTTTTGCAGGTAGTTACAGAAGGTTATTATGTGTAGTTTTTTAATGAATTTATTCTTATACCGTTTCTTATATTTGTCTTTTTTGTATCTGTTGTTTTGTTTTTGTAAATACTGTAATGCACATTTTTAAAAAATTAGTCTTATGAAATTTTGTTACATTTGAATCAATAGCTGGCTTTAGGTTTAGACAATATGTGAAAATGTTTTTTCTCTGTAGTATAAGTATTCATTTCAGAATACTGAGTACTTTCTTTTCATAATATACTTTTTTGATTTTTTAAATTCATAGTAGTGGGGTATAAAAAGTGCTACTGACCTGGATTAATATGTTTTAACTAAACTTATTCTATATTGTTATACTTATTATTCTATTAAAAAATTAAATTCTTGAAATAATTCTTTAATAAAACTACAGAATTTCTTTAAAAAAAATTCGTTAATTTGTAGAAGTTTTACAGTTAAGAAAATGATTCCATTTCAAAGTTTTCTTGACATAAAATCTCAACAGCCTCAGGCGGTTAATATGTTGAATAATGAGTAATATGCTTAATATGTTGCTTAATAATTGCTTAATATGTTGAAGAATGAAACACATTTAAATAATGATTATTTATTACAGCTGGTATAATTTAGGAATAAATGTTTTTCGCTTTTCAATTAACAGATTAATGGCAAATCAATTGAAAATGTGAAAAATGCTGGAGACTTACTTGATCTCGCCAATTCAACTCTTACTCTACAAGTTTCAAAGTGCATCCCTTGCCCAAGTTCTCCTCCTAGTTCTGTGTCTAATTACCAAAACTCAGATCTGCGAAATGAGAAGAAAAAAGGTTCTAGTCCCACGGGAAGCCATGGTTTGTAAAATTATTATTAATGATAACGTTGATTTATTTAGGAAAAAAAATTGATTTATTTGAGCTTTTCTCAACTAACTTTCTTTACATTTATGTCTCACTTCATATTTTCCTCTTTGACTGCTTAAATCTAATAAAAATCATTTGTATATAAATGTGTCCTTTACTTTTTTAAATTACTATGTTAGATATATGCATTTCCATTTTAAATGCAAGTAGATTCAATCAGTTTCCTTTAGAAATTGTGATTTTAAAAAACTTTTTTTACAAAGATACATTAATGAGTCAAATATTAGTCAAATATTTCAAGTAATACTCTCGAGTAATATGTTCTGTATAAGCACAAGTTTTAAAAACATTTAAATGTTAAATTTTTATGTGTTTAAATGTTAAACTTGTGTTTTGTACATTTAACATAAGTTTGTACAAAGATACATAATGAGTAAAATATTTCAAGTAATATGTCTCGAGTAATATGTTTTGTATAAGCTCAAGTTTTAAAAAGTACAGAACATAAGTTTTTTATCTTTATTTTGAGTTCTTAAATGATCAGGTGGTATATTTCATTCATCAAACAAATTTTCTCTTGGCATCAATAATTTGAGAATGAATGGTATTTTCTGAGTGTGGTATAAGCTTCTGTAGATATTCTTTTCAAAATCTTAAAATAATCTCATTTATTTTTGTGTGATTGTGTTTTTAAATGAAAGTTTTTATCAGAAAAATTTGCTGTCGCCATCTGCTCTCTAATTTGCTTGTTCATAATACACTGCCTGATTCATTTCAATTAACTCATTTTTTACAGAGCATCATACTTAAATAAGAAAAACAGGCTATGCTTATAATAGTTTACTTCTTAAAAAATGTGACAGAATTCCAGTTTGATGAATGCTCGAATTTCATTTTGCACAAAATTTTTATTTTGCCTTTCATAATATAACTATAAATTATTTTCATATTAATGTTATTAAAATTGATAGAATTAATACAATTAGTCAAGGCATTCTGACACCGTACACTGTGCATCTCCATTAAAGAATTTTTATATAGATCTGTTAGCATTTATCCAATATATGTGGAAGTGTAAATTTATGCATGCATGGAAAACTCATTCTTTTGTGCAGTTAATGGTAACATGCTAATCACTGCTTTATATTGCAAGCGGACACCATAATACAGTCATTATTATTTTGTTAAATTTCTGTCTTAAATGAAAATATTATTTTTTTGATTTTAAAATGATTTCTTACAAAATTGATTATCAGACATTGTATTTTGTATTATGATGGTGCCTTTTCTGTCATCACAACTTCCAAAAAAGTTTGTAATTTTTTATAAACTGCTGTAAATGTGTGTTTTATGGTGATTAAATGAATAAAATGCATTTGTATTTTGATATTGATATTGTTGATATATATATTTTGGCATTTTTATGCAGATGTGTTTTATTTGAATCTGAAAATAATTTTTTTGTATTTCAGGTAGAGATAGTGTTCAATCGTCACCCGATAAAGATATATTATCAATATCACCAAAAAAGCCAACTTTGTATGAACAAGACAGTGAAAAGTCTTTAAAATCCCTCAGTTCAGAAAATTCTAAAAAATCACCAGAATCTTCACCTTTGTCTCCTGTTTCCAGAAGACGGAAAGCAGCTTCTGACGATCGAACTCGTTACCCCTCGTCTCAGCCGACTCTCTTAGACCGAGCTTACAATAAGATATTTGGTGAAAAACGCACATCAAAAGACAAAAAGAATTCACAAAATGCACATTCACCATTGTTGGGTCATGATGAAGAAGATCCTATTGCAGAACTGGATTCAGTTCTTGAAGTTCATAGCAAAATGCTTAATAAGACTAGCAAAGAAAGTTCAAAGAAACCAGAAAAAAATGGTGGTACTTGGCCAAAGTACAAAGGTCCCCTCATTCAATACAATGAAGTTGGGACAGTGGCCCGTTATCCCAGTCGAAGAAAATCTGAAAGGAAATCTTTGGCCACAGTCAGCAAGCAGTTTAGCCTCTATGATCCAAATGTACAACATACACCCAAACAGACCTCAGAATCTCGTGTAAATCATATATTAGACGGCTGCAGTGATAATGAAAATAATAGTCGTCTGTCTGTAACTATGAACAGTGACAGGATATCTGTGTTTGTTGATTGTCAGCATGGACATCAATCTTCAAATTGTTCAAAAAAGTCTAATATTCCTATTATTTCACCAAGTGCTAGCAATACACAAACTTCTAGCTCAGGGTCTTCATATGCTTCTCCAGACATTGATAGTCCTCACAAAAATTTATCTGGTCAAAGCAATGAACAGTTAAATGATATTAGGGCACCATCTTATAATGGGAACTCTAGCCCTAGTTCATTGTTAGATTATTCTGTAGTATCTGCATATCCAAACAAGGATGTATTAGAGTATTATAAAAATAGAAACCGTTCTCGTCCACGGTCTGCTTTGTTTGGTATTTCAGATTCTGACTGTTTGAGTTCTTTGGAGTCAAATTCTTCAAGTCAATGTGGTAAAAATCTAATGAGCTTGGGTATGGATCGGACATCTTTCAGTCATTCAGATGGGATACCTCTTTCATTTTCTCCTCCCGACAGGCCATTAAGTGCTCGTTCTGGACACATGTATCCTGTTACAGTTCCTACAAGTCTGACTGCTTCTGTTATTAGTCCTCCTAATCTGCTTCGGAGCAGTACACCATTTTATACTTTGAGCACTGGTCAGAGAGGCATAACTCATTCTCATCATCCACATAATCATACTACGAGTAACCATGGCAACGCACTTGTTGTTTCACCTTTGCCCTCAGCATCTAGGTATTCATCCCCACCTGGTCTCTCTGTATATACTTCAAGGAGCGGGGACTCACTGTTAAGTGTGTCAGTTACAGAATCTATGCTCGTGGATTCTCGTTCTTTTCATACGCATGCAGACAGTGGGAGGTACTCTCTCAAAGACAGTGGACGACACAGCTTTACGCCTAGCCCTTCACCATGTCCTTCTCAGTACAGTTATTCTAACCCATCACCCACCCAAAGTATAGATTTACATTACCACCACAGCTCATCCTGTCAGACGCCGAAACGAGTGGTACCTGCTCACACTCATGTTCATACTGTCTATAGAGAAGATTCATATAGTCCATCAGTAACTGATGGTTTATTAACATATCCAAAAAGAAATCAAAGAATCCGCATCCCATCCAACCCAAGTGTGACATCTAAGTCTTCAGCTGGTAAAGTTTCTAGTAGCTCAATTGAGAAAGCATCATCCGTGTCGGAGAGAAGCAGCCCATTGCCACCTTTTACTGTAGAATGGCAAAACCCTGATGGATCTCAGGCCTTGTCTGATTTTAGAGACAGAATGTGAGTATTAATTTTTATTTAATTCAGTTTTTCTGTTTGTATGTATTTAATGCAATGAATCGAAGAAAAATTATTTTCTTTGATAATATAAAACTAGCAATATTTAATTTCAGTATTGGCAACAATATTGGTCTGTGAATCTATAATAATCAAATAAATAAAATGCTAGAATTTAACAAATATATTAATGATCAATTGAATTTGATTTATTACTAGTGTGTGAGAGTTGTATAGAAAGGAATGCTAAATTTGGCTGCCTTCTCCCCTAATGATACAGACCTCTATGTTCTACATATTGTCAAAGTTACACTTCCTTTGTGTGAAGGTGCTATTCGGTGTGGTCTCCGTTACAAGTGATACATTTGTGCCATCATTAAATGTAACTCTCAAACTTTGTTTGTGAGGATTCAGATATGTTATAATTTCACTTATTTACACTCACTTTTGCCTTATTTATAATAACAAGTCATTTTCCCTATAAATTGTTCTTCACTATGCTGAAGGTGTAGAATTCTGGTGGCTTGATCTCTACTATGGATGAGGGGCAACTGCTTAATTGAGTTTGCTGTGCCTTATCATAGTGATTATGGATTGCATTCAGGTTTCATTTCTTCATAATGGCTTTTCAAAGTTTTCAGAATGTCTGAATGTACCATTTGCTGTTCACAGAGTGGTAGTGTTCAAACAGTTGAGAAGAATGTAGCTGTTATTATCTCAAAAAAGCTTGTTACTATGCTATGCTGATTGCTGGTTTGTAAACTTTTTAGTCCTTGCAGAAAAGAGATGGCATCATGCTGTGATTTTTAATCTCTGGATCATAATGGTATGCTATTGTCATGTGTTGCAGAATTGAAAATGTATGTTCCAATGCTTCCAGTAGATAAAAAGAAATTCTATAGTTGCCTATACCCACAAGGATCTGGTCCAGAGCCCTTGATTCCAGGGACTACTAGGTCATCCTGTTGCTCTTCATAATCATATTGTTCTTTGCATGATGACAAGGAAAGTGAGCATTATGGATTCCTGAAAGAATACTTATCCTACAGTCTGAAATTTTCTTAATTGGGTCTTGAGCAAGTGATCAATTTCCTCCCCTTCATATTGGATGTCAGCTGTTGAAGTACCCATTTTTCTTGTTGATAACTTTTAGTCTTCCATCTTTTGTATTACATTGTGACCAAAATCCACTTCTGCATAAAGCTTATGGACTGTCCACCTGAATTAATCTGATGATCTGTTTAAGGTTGATGCCCAAGATTGCCATTGATTGTCTCCCACTATGGGGTTTGTCTTCAGGCTTTGTTTCTCTTTCTTTAAACTTCTTTACCTGTCTGTGCACATTGCTCTTGTTAGTCATATAACTTACGTAAATATCCTGTAGTTTTCTATGGATGTTGGAACAGATTTTCATCTCTTTTTATCAGGAGCTCATTGGTGACATACTGTGTATACTTTGTTACCATCATACACATGCAATGATGTAAATGATTATTATGTGCTCATTTAGAGGAATAATAATTTCATCAATATATATGTAATTTGAATGAATATAAAGAAATATTAGGCCAACCATTACAATATTTTCGCTATGACCTTTGTGCAGACATATATTGACTACTGGATTAGGCAAAGCAATCCTTGACTTTGCATTACTCAGAGCTGTGCTAACTTTGAAAACTAAATTTTGTATAAATTTGTAATGTCTAGTTTTGATATCCTTTTCTAATGTTTTTGCTTTTATTATGCATACTGTGGAAAATTAAAAGAAAAAACAATTAGTGCTTTAATTTGGAATGTAATTTTTTTTGCATGAAGCAATATTTCTTCCATTAGTTTGTAAGGTATATTTTAACTTAGATAACCTTTCCTATCAGTTCTTGTTTCCCATTTACATCTCCCTACCAGAATGAGTTTTTAGAATCACTTTGAATGCAAATGAGTAAGTAGTAGTAGTTAAGGGAGGTTCCACTTACTTCGAGAGAGAGAGCTAGGAATCCTGAGTAGCAATATTTCGTTATCTTCGGGTTAAGTCTGTCTAGAAGCGGTTACACTCGGCTGTATGTTACGTGTATTTGTCGACTAGTTTAAATTAAGGGTCAACTACATTAGATTTGTTTTAGCTTCGGCTGAATCTCTTTTAGTTAGTTCTAAGGTAGCTCTTATTTCTTATTTTTGAGTTTAAGCCCAAATGGAGGCTTTGTCGTAAGTCCGAAGAAAGGAGCCAACTGTTCATCTTATTTTGAGTGAAATAAAGGAACTCGACAAGTAAAATGCAAATTTTTAAGTTACAGAAAGAGTTAGGCAGCCTTTAGTTCAAAATTAAGAGACTTTGCACATTATGTGGAATTTCTGAAGAATTAATGGACAGATTTTGATGAAATTTGGTATGAGTATACATTTATAATAGAGAAAGAGATTTATAATTCAAAAGTCACTTTATGTATACATGATTATCAGTAAAGCTCATAGTGCAAGAATATCCAAAATCCTTGTTGTGGTAACAAACAGGAAACAAGTCTTTCCAAGTCAAGTTTGGGTATGGTCCCCCTCTCATTGCGAGATAGACTGAACTGATCGACTGAGGAATCCTTGTGACAGTCGATCCCATTTCCTGCAGCAAGGCAGTTTTCAACTCTGAGATGTTTCTCGGAGGGGGATAGCGAGATAAGTTTGCACTCCCCAAAGTGTTTCAGACATGCTTTATAGGGTTTAGGTCAGATTTGGCTGGTGAATCCATGCGGCGAATATCCTCATTTTCCAGGTAATCATTGACCAGCTGAGCCCTATGTGAACAAGCTTTGTTTTCCATCAACAGGAACCCAGGACCAATTTTGATCCTGAAAAGTCAAAAATAGGGATCTAAGATCCTCTCTCTGTACCAACTCTCTCAGATGCTGAGAATCGGAGTCCAGGATGAATCTCGACTCATCTGTAAAAAGCACAGTGCTGCATTGAAATCTTGTCCAAGGGACATGTTATCGGCACCATCCTAAATGTGCTGTCTTGTTTGCTGCAGTCAGCATGACACAAATAGTGAGTCTTCTGGCATATAGCTCTCATGAAGCCTTCAGACAACTGTAGATCGTGAAGGTCAAGTTCCAGTGGCAGCATGCAGGTCACGTGAGAACTGTAGCAGTCCTGAAGGTCAAATTCCAGTGGTAGCATGCAGCTCACATGAGAACTGTAAAACTGCAGCAGTCCTGTGTTGCCAATGCTGAAAGTGCCAAATGACGATCATCATTTGTCATTTAGATCTCGGTCAACCTTCTTCTTCCATCTTCTTGATGGGGATCCAGTGTTTTGAAACTGCTTCTACAAATTGCAGACAGCATTGGGCATTACATTGAGTTCTGTAACCACCTGTGCTTGTGAGTGGCTTGCCTCCCAGTGTACCAGTGTTTCCGTCTCATCCCATCATCCATACATTTATGGCTACTAATTTTATCTGATATCTTTTAAAATTTATCCAACTTTTGCATGTCATGAAGGATCTCAGAAAAATCTCATGCGCTTATGTCCCATTCACAATCACAGCTCCACAGACACACAAATCTACGCTTACGTATTCTACATTTTTCAAAATTATTTCAAAATGTATTTTCAAAATTTATTTATAATTTGCAAATTATGGTTATTTTTAAGAGAAGTATTGAACCAAAAAATACCAATTATGCTTCTGAAATATTTTCAAAATTTTTCAGAAGCATAATTAGATTCAATACCTCTCTTAAAAATAACCATAATTTGCAAATTATCTCAGTTGAATTTATATAAATAATAATCATTATCATATTAATAATGATTATTATAATCATACACGTATAATGATTATTATTATATACTCATGTCTAAAACTGAGATAATTTGCAAATTATGTGACGATAATTAAGAAACTTTACCGTATTTGATGGCATATAAGACGCACCCTTATTTAGACGGCCACATACAAGGAAAAGTTTCAATAGCGTAGTTTCTTTTAGTTCTCACATTTTGTAAAAGCCAAATAAACAATTATTGAATGCAATTACCTTCACGTATAAGACTGTGTCCTTCACGTATAAGATGCAGGTAACTTTTTTAGACCAAATTTAGGAAAAAAGTGCATCTTATATGCCGTCAAATATGGTACTTCCATATGGTATACTCAGAGTGGAATTAATGTTTCTTTTGCTGCTCTTTTGGATTGATGGTAGTTTAGTGGCTTTTTGTTATTACTTTTCATTCTGATGCATTAGATGATTTCCGAGGTTTTTATAATAATATTGAATAAATTTATATTATTAATATCTGTATTGACTCCTTCTTCCTTCCAGAATTAGTTGTAATTGGCTTGTCATTTTGAATTCCAACATTTATGGATAAAATGTTTTATCTCTGGAGCATTGCTAAAATTCTTTGGTCTGAGTTATATATTATGATTAATTTTTGTGATGAAGATTGTCAAAGAAAATATTTTAGTGAGATGGAAATAAATTTTTCATGTTTACCATTTGTTTTTAAATAGTTTCATTTTGTTTTTAGTAAAATATTTATCATGATGTATTGAAGTGAAAGATTATTTTATGCTAAAATATGATGTATCTTTTAAAAAGTGGTAAAAATCACTTTTGGGATTTAAAGGTGGTAAAAATCACTTTTGGGATAGTTTCAGAATAGTTGGTTAATGCCTCAGATTTTAATAGTTTATGCTTAAGCATTCATTTGTTGGCAAAGAGGAGATATTGTAATACATGAAACTCTTATAAGGGAGTTACCATAGTGAGAAATATTGTACATGGTTTTGTATTTTTCTTTCTCCTCAATAACTAAATTTCCTTTTTGTATAAATGTAAGTATAAAATTTAGCATCTTGACAATTAGATTTTATGTCTTGTTATTTTCTACTGGGGAAAAACTATCCAAGGCATAGTAGATAGTTACTGAACATTCTGTTACTTCACAAGAAGCTAATTTGCAACTAAATTTTTATCATCCCTTTACTTTGCTCTTCTGTAAGAGTATCCTAACTATGAGCAGGGCTCTTCAGTAATCTACACTACACTATGATTTGAAATTTAATGTTTTTTAAGATCTTATTTACAAAATTTTGTTTTATACCCAAACAGAACTTAAGCAGCATAATTTTTTTTTTTTTTTAATTTAAATGTAAAAAAAAAATAAAGTTTACAAAATTTTTTTTTTACGAGGGTAAGTTGAAAAATAAGTTTCCCCTGTCGACTGTGGTCAGAGTTGTGTATGAAAGTCAAAAAATAGAACGAGACATTAAAGATATGACACACCTTTATTTTTCCACAAGGTACCAAGTACATTGAGACATTTGTCATATCGCTTGATAAGCTTCAAAAAGTCCTCCAGGAAAAAATCAGGGCTTTGCATATGGAAGAAGCGTTGAACGGCTTGTTTCACTTCAGTATTGCTTCCAAAGCGCCTTCCCCCGAGATTTTTCTTCAAAGCCGGAAACAGATGGAAGTCGCTTGGTGCGAGATCAAGACTGTATGGCGGATGGTGTAGGCGCTCCCAACCAAGAGTTGTAATATGGTTTTGCGTTGCCGTCGCCGAATGTGGTCTGGCATTGTCATCCAACAGCAGAACGCCAGATGTGAGAAGGCCAGGCCGCTTTTTCCGAATCGCCTCTTTCAATTTCGACAGGGTGTCACAGTAGCGCGTAGCATTGATGGTTCCAACTTCCAAAAAGTCCAGCAACAAATATCCTTGGGCGTCCCAGAAAACTGTGAGGAGCACTTTACCTGCAGAGGGAGTTGTCTTGAACTTCTTTCGGACAGGTGATGACGGATGTTTCCACTCCATAGATGCGGCCTTCTGGCGTGAAATGGTGGACCCACGTTTCATCCTCCGTCACGATCCGAAACAGAAAGTCATTGCCATCTTCATGGTAACGCACGAGATGTTCCAGGCTGACCCCCATGCGTTGTTCCTTGTGTGTCGAGGTCAATTGTTGGGGGCACCCATCGTGCTGACACTTTTCTGTATCGAAGAATGTCATGGATGATGTTTTGAGCTCGCTCATGTGAGATTCCAAGTTCTTCCGCTACTTCATCGATGGTGATATGCCGGTTCGCTCTAATCATGTCATCCACCTTCCTGACATTTGCATCTGTAGTGGCCGTGCACGTCCATCCAGCTCTCGGTATGTCCTCCACTTGCTGACGTCCATCACTGAATGTGCGACACCATCTCTGCATCATTTGCTTCGACATCACACCTGGCCCATAGACTTCCACGAGGCGGTTATGAATTTCTGTTCCTGATACTCCACATGCCCATTCATAGTGGATAACCGCTCTCACTTCCTCCTTTGACCACGAATTCAAAACGCACCTTCTCTCCATACCTACCGGGGCTCAAATGAGAGGCTGGTCTCCACTTTGCGCAGGCACTGCAACAGCGCCATCTGCTTGATTTGCAGCGACCTCTACCCAATGGTGTAACAGTGACTTGCGCGCTTTCCTGTTGTGTCGCCTTTCACCCATAGCCGTTCAACGCTTCTTCCATATGCAAAGCGTGAATTTTTCTTGGAGGACTTTTTGAAGCTTATCAAGCGATATGACAAATGTCTCAACGCACTCGTACAAGAATAATAAAATAAAGGTATGTCATATCTTTAATGTCTCATTCTATTTTTTGACTTTCATACACAACTCTGACCACAGTCGACAGGGGAAACTTATTTTTCAACTTACCCTCGTAATTAGAGAAATATTTTCTGTTGTAAAAATTATTATAATTAGAAATAAGAAAAGACATTATATAGCCTATCAACAAGTTATTGGATATTTAGGGATTGCTGTCTTTTTTAATTTCTCCTATATCTAAATTTCTCATTTATTGTATTATTAAGCCATACTTTTTTATTTATATTTTTAAGATGCAGAATAAGGATGTAGCTTAAGTTCAAAGCAAATATTTTAAAATTTTATTTACCAATAAAAGCTTTCTTTAAATCTAGAAAATCTATATTCATGTTTTTCTTCAGTCACTAAAAAGCGCTTTAGAGAACCTTCAATTTTCTCAAAATTCTAAGGTCTCGGACTCACTGAAGACTTGTTCTTACAGCTGGCCAATGATTACTCTGGGTGTCTGTAATCTGGTAACACACTGTAGTAGAATTTGTTGAAGGTGCCTTTGTATAGCATATGGGTTACTATTACTTTTGAATGTTTGCATACTATAACCAATATTTCATTACAAAGAGAAAGTAAGTCTCAGTTTCTTTAAACCAGTATCACATCTGCGTCCTACCCTCAACAGCATGTCAAAAGAAACATTTCTGGGAATTTTCACTTTTCAAGATAGCTGATTGGTTGACTACGTGAAAATGAATTCTTTGGGAAATCCTACAAAGGACACAGTTTTAAGCAAATCATTTTCATTTTAACTACAAAATGTTTTGTGTAGCTATCAATTCAAACAAAACATGTTTCAGGTAGGAGCCTCCAATGGTAGTAGAAGGAGAAGCTAGTTTCTCAGAAAAGTTTTCTCCTAACCTCTCACATTGTTAGATATGAAACCCCATTAGAAGCGATCCTAATGTTTTGATGTACAGGAAATTTAAGCCAAAATACAGTGTAAGGTGGATTACTGCTGCTCACATTTCTAGGAGGGGTGCAATTATGATCTTCTAATCAGAAATATTCTTTTAAACATATATATCCAGCTTTAATGTCTATTCTTTTGTAATACATTACTTTTTTAAAAAAAATATTAGCAATTCTTAAATCTAACAAAACCATTTTATATGTGGGATTTTAAACAAACAAACAAAAAAAAAAAATATTAGCTGCTTTTCGTATATTGCAAATTTATGCTGGTCAAATTTTTATCATTTTTTATCCTGTATGAAATAACTAATAGTATCCTATAGAACGTTTTTCATGAAAAGCACCCGTCCTCATAACAGATAGTTCTCAAGAACTTTTCTGTTTAAAAAAAAAAGCCTATTTTTTTTAATTACGTTCATTTTAATAAGTTTATAAAAAAAATTGTGCTAGGTTTTTTTATAATAAAGAAAAATAATTATTATTCAGAAAATGTGGAAACCATCTTATTTTTCTTTGCAAGTGTAAAAATTTTATAACATTTCAATGGAGTAAAATTATATTAAAATATGGTTTTATATTACAGTCCCAAATCTGGTGATTTACGAAGTATCTGCATCGAAAAAAGTACAGAACCTTTGGGTATTCAAATAAGTTGTGGTGCTGGAGGTGGTATATTTGTATCATCTGTTACAAAGAATAGTCTTGCTGATCAGGCTGGCCTTCAGGTTGGAGATCATCTCCTTGAGGTATGTATTTATTGCACATTGTTCTAATACAAAATTAAAAATATGTGAATCAAAATTGTAATATAAATTAGCAATAGCCACTTAAATTCTCATTTTAATTTTAATTTGGGTACTTCTTTTTTCTGTCTTAAAAATAGTCGTAACTTTTCTGGACTGTGTCATTTGTAGAATAATCCATCTCATATGACTCATATATAATGATGATGATGATGTGGCTAATTTTGAACTTAAATCAAAATCTTTCTCTTGATAAGTCTCCATTTTGGATAGTTGTGCACTTACTTTCTGCACATAAGCATAGAAACTTCCTGCTTCTCTTTTTACTGCAAAGCTATCAAAAATGTAAAATGTTTGAAATAGGCATAATTAGAGTGCCAAGTGGCTACAAACGTCAATTGCAATAAAAAGAAATATTTCATTTGCTCCAGCTACCGAGTTGTTCTTCATTATGAATCGACATCTATGCTACCAATATTTCTAAATCATCATTATATACATATTTGTGTGTGTATGTGTAGGATGTCTCCCATCCCCAATGATGAATGGCATTGTCATCGCCCATCTTGCTGGGACCCACACCCATTGGGAAAACAGTCTCCGCCAAGGAGAGCAAAGTACCATAGTGAAAGGATGCTCATGAAGGATCAAGATGGCAGGCTGTGCATAGATAGCCTCTGATAAATCAGTGTCACTCACAATTTAATTAATTAGTGACCCTATTTGTACCATGAGAAGATGTTAATATATAGACTCAATATGGATGCCTTTTCAGGCATCACTTGTATTTGCATCTCCTTTTTCCTTTACCCAGTAACGTCTCAAACACCGATTGCACATAAACTTTAATACATGTGTGTGCATCTGTAAGCTGAATTTCTTCTTTAAGAAGAACCTTAGAAGACATATCTAGGCTGATTCTTGTTACAATATATTTTAACAAAGAGACAGTTTTATGAAACATTTTAAAATTCTGTACTTTTTAATGTATTTTTAGGTATGTGGAATAAATATGAGAAGTGCTACATACGGATTGGCAGCTAATGTGTTGAGACAGTGCATTGATAGCATTACCATGCTGGTGCAGTATAATCCAGAAAGTAATATTTTATTTTTTATTTCATGCATCTTATGATATATTTATAATATTTTTGGAATATTGTTTCCTGGTAACTAATAAATACGTATGTGGTGCACAAATTTGAAATTTGCAAAGTTTGATGTGTATAAAATGCAGTTATATGGAATAGTAGACACTAAAATGGCGAAGGGTAAGAATTTAATCTTATGCAAAAAGGAAAAAAAAAAGTCTTTCAAATTTTGATTAATATTCTTTATAAATTAAAAACGTATTTCATGTATTATTAATAAATATTTGTTAGGTATTATTAACAAAATGAGAATAAAGAAATTCCATGTGAATAATCCTCAGTAAAAGTTTATTTGGAAATTTAATGTTCAAAATAACTAGCAATTCACTGAAGATTGTAATAAAGTGCATAAACCACATTTAATGCTGTTATCGTTTATAATAAATATGCCAAATTTTAAAATGAGTCAGTATATAAATTCACATACATCTTCAGGACTTTTTAATAAAAACTCCGCTTTTTTTGCAGGTATGCCTAGAAATACATGTAATTTAAGATCATGTTAAAAATTTTATAGGTTATAATTCAAATTTTTTTTTGAAGAAGAAATATATGAGTTTTTTTTAATTTAAGCCTAAATTTTGAATTTTAAAAGAAGTTAAGTAAATTTTATTTTTAATGTTGATATGTGTATGAAATTCAATTAGCATTGGGAATTAAAATTTTGATTGTTAATTTTTAAAAAACTGTTTCAGTGATTTTTTACAAAATTTGGTTCTTTGCCATAATTTGAGGCATAGAATGGAAAAATAGGAAGGAAAAAAAATTTGCCAAGTTGTATTAGAAAAGGTCTGATTTTGTTTAATTTAAGCCTAAATTTTGAATTATAAAAGAAGTTAAGTAAATTTATTTTAAATGTTGATATGTGTATGAAATTCAATTAGCATTGGGAATTAAAATTTTGATTGTTAATTTTTTAAAAAACTGTTTCAATGATTTTTACAAAATTTGGCTCTTTGCCATAATTTGAGGCGTAGAATGGAAAAATAGGAAGAAAAAAAAAATTTGCCAAGTTGTATTAGAAAAAGATCTGATTTTGTGTCAAAATATGCACATTAGAACATCATTCTATATAAATCTTAATATAAATCATAAGTTAGGCTTTTGAGACATGAAAAATGCAGACGGAATTTTACAATCAGATTTACTTATAGAATTTAGAATTGACCCCTGTCCACTTTTTTTTCGAGTTGGTGCATATTTAAACTAACAGCTTCCAGAAAGGTGAATTGGTCATGCTGATCTGAATAAAATAGTATTAGTGTTCTGGTCTTCAGATCAACTGACCTGACTTACAATTTTTTCCTTTAGGAATTTGTGAAAGATAAGGTGTTCCGATCATTACTTCCATGCGATTCACATCACTTATAGAGGATAAGCCATTTAATCAGCTAGTTGATCAGGTTATGCTGACACTGGTGCAGCTAGAATTGTTAGATTGACATTTACTGTATAATAAAGAAATATGGAAAGTGCTATATTCGTGTATTTTTTTATTTGTGAAACAAGTGCCGTAAGTTGCAGTTTTTTAACACTTTTTTTATTTACCATGTAGTTTTAATTTGATTAATGAACAAGAAAATAAATTTAGCACTACACATTTTATTTATTAATTTGCCTTTTTTATGTTTAGAATTTCGGGAAGTTGTACCTGACAATGAGGATTCTAGTGATGCAATGTCTCCTTGTGAAACTCCTGTGATGTCTCATAAAAAAAGTCTTTCAAAATCTGTTGATGCTTCCAATGAAGATGTGCCAAGTTCACCCAGCTCAGCAGCATCTACTTTAACTAAGAAAAAGTCTGGTTTGAGGTAATAAAAGAGAAAAGTTTTAGTGCCCCCCTCCAAAAGTATGCATTAAAATTTCTATATATGTATTTAGTAGAAAAAAGGAAGGTGTTGGTTTTATTTAAATATAAATCTGTGGAAGAATAATTAAAATTTTGATTTTGATTATTACTATTTCAAGTTATAATCATTATAATTCCTAAAATATAGCTGCTAACTCTCCTGTTTTTACCAGAAGACTTCCAGTTTTTCATCACATCTCCTGGTTATTATATTTTAGCCTTGACTAAAGAAAATGTTTCAAAGTAACAAATGAAATTGATTGAATTAATGAAACTTAAATTAGGCAAATTCAATTCCGCGATTTTCAGAATAATGTTTCTTATCAAACTTCATTTCATCCAAACTGTATTTTTTATTATGTTTTGTCAATCTTTCTCTTAGTAAATTTCATTTGATCTGAGTTATATTAATCTAATATGTAAATTTTTATATGAAGATTCAAGCAATGTTTAATCAGTTAATATTTGTATTTAATTTTGTTCACTTCTCTGTATATAGTACATTACTATATTTATCCATGCAGATACAATGTGCATTAGTTATTAGTTTTATTTTCATTATATTTAAAATCATTTGGATAAACAAAAACTTTTCTTCTATGCTTGGAATTTTCTCAGTATAAAAGTGTAAGAAAATTAAAAAGTAAATTAGTCAAAGAACATAAAATCTAGAATATCCAGTTAAATGCTAATATATTTTACATCAGAATTGAATTACAAATACTTTAATAACCTGAGCCGTGTATTGTTGCCACATAGAATGAAAACCTTTGAGAAAACTCTCCTAGTTTTCTCACAGAAAGCTTCTGGCTTTTAAGATTTTAAGTTTGGCAGCTATGCTAAAAATATTTTAAAACTTTTTTTTTTTTTTTAAAGAGGTGGAATGAAATGCTTATTTTTAATATAAATTAGAGCTCAGTTAAACTGAATAAATTAACTGAATAATTGTGGAATCATGCATGAACTTGAACTGTGGGTTACCATTTAAAAGATTATCATTTATATTGCTATTAACTACATTATCATCAATCAACTTCATGGTAGATTGTGCAATGACTAACATAGCATAAATATGTATTTCCCTTCTCTCAGATCTTATTTTTAAGTGTATGTATTGATTGATTTAAAAGTTTAGCTCTTAATATTTGTTTTGATTCCTTAATTCTATATTTATTTAATAATTAATTAAAAATTAAAGCAAAACATGTTGAATTACTTTTCTAGTTATGAGACTTAAGTGCAGAAATAAATCTAATTTTATTTCTATCAATATATTTTGGTCCTAGTAGAAGTTAAAAGTCTTTGAAAAAAATAACCTTCATATAAATATCTTTTTTAACACATAATTAATTCACAGTATGAAAGATAAAGTTGATAAGCATTAATTGCATTAATTTTATGCTAAAAATATAGTAATTTCTGCCACTGAAATTTTACTGGATCATTGAAAGAATAAGAATTTTTTTATTAACTTAAATGTTGCTTGAAAGATTAGCAGTGATAGCACTTATTTCTTATATTTTCATTGAGTTTCTCAATTTGTTATTTGTCCTTCCTTTAGTATATGAGTTAGTAGTGTTTAGAATATGGAGAAATCTTCATTCCTGCAGTTTAAAAAATGCAATATAATTTAATTCAGGAAAATTAAGAATGATCCCTATTTCCCCTCTTTTAGTATATTCTTAGTCTGTTTAACAAATAGATATAGAATTAATGAGAAAATAAATTTTAATATTTTAGTCATGCTGAATATGACTAACCATTTCAATTCCGAATTTCTATTTAACCTAGGATTTTTATTTAGTGTTGACCTTTGATTTAATATTATTAAGTGTTGACCTTAACAAAGCTAAAATCACATTATTTTTTATTATAAACTAAACTCAGTGGCATAACGGCCCTAATGGGCCAAGGCCTGCAGTGCCCAAAATCTATTTTCTTGACCATGGGCTCTGGGTGTGTAAACATATGCCCTGAATAAGTGGTCATCTTGTCATAAGACCCCCAGTGTTTAGTCTCCAAGCAAACTTGGTACTCATTTTATCAACCCAAGTGATGGAAATCAAGGGATGAAAGTCTGAGTCGACCTCGCCCAGCCCGGGAATCGAACCCGGACCTGTGGTGCTACTGCCCGATGCACTAACCACTGCACCACTGGGCCTCATTTTTTATTATATTATGTGTATTTATTTACGAGGGGGAAAATATTAATAAGATTTTGCTGTGCCTGAAATTTGAACTTTTTATTAAATTTGAAATTTTTGCTTCGTATTATTTTAATAAATTAATGCTCTTTTCTTTTTCTAGTTTGATACCTGGGGAGAAAAGGAATAAAAATTCAAAAAACTCCAGTTCTGAGGCAAGGCTAGTAATTTTAAAGAAAGCCACTTCCAATCTTGGTATTAGTCTTTTAGGGGGCAATGCTGTTGGTATTTTTGTCCATGCTTTGCAAGACGATTCTCCTGCACAAGGTGCAAATGGTCTACGAACCGGTGATCAAATTTTAGAGGTAGAGTTTTGCCTCTGTTTACTTATACAAAGTCTATCCCAAAAGTAATGCTCCCCACTTTCTTTCTGTTGCAACTATCCGTGGTGCAGTATTGCCGCTTACCCCTGGAGGGTGGGTAGAGTCTTGGAAACACAGCACGACTAGCGCCAGTTGGCTCTGAGCTCCTGGAGAGTCACAGTGCCTGTTTCAGTGAACTCTTGTGTGAGTGCTCGGTTGAAATCAAGATGGGAAAAGCTCTCAAGCAGCGATACAAGAAAAGTTTTGTTTCACACTGGAGACATTGTGGGAGATTTTTGATTGGAGATTAAAAAAAAAAAGAGAGATTTGATCATTGAAGATTAAAAAATCCCTCAAAGGACAGTATTTGGGGACCCTGGAGAACATCAAGGCAGCTACGATGATGTTACTAAAGGACATCTCTGTGACAGACTTCCAGGATGCATATAAAGCATGGAAATCGCATTGGAACAAGTGTGTTAAAGCAGGGGGGATGTTTTTCGAAGAATATTGAGGAATTGTACAAAGCAGTTCAATAAATGTCTTTTTAAGAAAAATGGGTGCATAACTTTCGGGACAGACCTTGTATACAGATTTCATTTCAGAATTGTAGTAGATTTTATTGATTCATGTCAGAGCTCTTAATAATACAAGCAGACCATAAATGATCATGAGTATCATGATCATTAAGGCTGCTAGCCATTTAGCGATGTTGTGAAGAGCTCGAAGTAAATGTTTGCTGCTTTGATGCAATCCAATTAACAAGACATTTAAATTATGGGAGTTTATAATAATGAAGTATCAAATTATTTAATTATTTGTGTAGTTTCTTATTAAAAGAATTTGTATTTTCTTACTCATTTGTAGATTGCTTTTTGTATGCTTATAAGAATATTTTGTTTTCTGTAGTACAGTGTTTTAAAAAGGTTTGTTTTGTTTGCAAAGTTTTTATTCTTTATGTTTAGTACAATGGAATAGATCTGCGGCATGCAACTGCAGAGGAAGCTGCATATGAACTAGCAAAACCAGCTGATACTGTGAAAATTCTTGCTCTTCATAATTATGAAAGTATGTGGATCTTTTATCTTAAACCCATGCTTCATTTCTTAAGTAAGAGCATTTACTATTTTTATATTAACTACTTTGCATTAAAAAGAAATTTTAAACTTTATATTTACATATTCTTTTTTGGGAGGACAATATTTAATATTTTCAATCATGTGGCTCCTTTGTAAATGAAGTTGAGTTTTTTAGAGACTAAATAAATAAATGAATCATTATATTTTTAATATTATCTTAGAATTTTCTGATATTATGTATGATTTGTTAAGATATCAGATTTTTAATGGAAATTTAAGTGCTTAAATAAAGTTATATATAATTCTTTATTATGTTGTATATGAATAAAATCATTCTGATATAATTTTTTTTAAATTTTTATTCTATTTTGAAAATGCTGAGCTTATCTCAATTACTTTCAATTTATGATAGCTATTATAGAGTTTTCATTCAAAAAATATTATTTTCTTGAATATTGCTTATTAATACGTTATGGAAATACAATAAAGCCTCGCAAACTCAACTTCTAATCGCTCAACATTCTGTATAATGTGATGATCACTTTTTTTTTAAATCACTAAATGATTACTGCTGGTCAGAGCATTATCTTTTGAATATTGTCTCAATTTAGTAACAGCTAGTCTGTAATTTCAAATTTTTTAACCTCTTTAAGACATTATTTTTTTAAACCTATGTAATGAACTTGGTGACAAGTGTTGTTCTTTTCATGGAAGTTCCAGTCTACCCCATTCCTCCTTTCAATAATAAAGTAACCGAAAGAAGTCTGGTAACCACCATTTATTATCATTCACATTCCTTTATGTTACTAGCTTTTAACAGGATTTTTTTTTTTTTTTTTTTTAAGATTAATGGCTGTATGCTATTGTAAGCTAATTACTTCCAAATTATTCAAGTTTTATGTTATGTTGTTCATGCAATTGGAGAAGAAAATAAAACAAATTAGAATTATTGTAGAAATGAAAGTAGATGCCTTAAGAGACTGGATAAAGAAAAAAATATTAATAAATTTGCTATAGATTTAGGTGTTGAATGAAGTATTATTAGTTGCAAAGAACCTATCCTATCTTCCATAAAACTGGACATTTCTGAAAATTTATTACCCGCTCAATGCATATTAAGTTTAGTTTGCAGGGCTCTAGTGTAAGGTGTATGTATAAAAATAATTAATTTTAATAAAGAACTTTTATTATTTAAATTAGCTTTTTGTTTTTCAGCTCAGTTAAACTCTAGCCTATCAGTTAATATAGCAAACTGTAGTTATACTAATTAACATGTTATTAAATCTGGGTGGGAAACAAGCTTAATTAACATTAAGTACTCGGCCTTTCCTTATGATTGAAAAATAACTGTAATGAAATGCAAATACAAAAAATCAACTGACTCAACATTCCTTAAGATTCCAAAGATCCTTATAAAGATAAGGATAGGATATTATACATATTTGCAGCATTTAATTATGATGTTTAACTTATATTTCATATGTAAATAATAGGTACTTCTATTTAGTGACTTAAATAAAAGAAGCTGGATAACATTTTGCATGTTGTAAAAATACTCTTTCAGTGCTAGCAAATATTGTTTGAGGCTTGAACAGTATTTCGATAACAGTTAGCTGTTTTATGCACAATACAATAGAATATCTGTGTTTTATTCTGTACGTATCCAAATGATCAGAAGGTTGTTGATGCTTGTTCCTTGATCTATTGCACCAAGATATTTTACTGTACATTTATTTACAATTTATTTACAAGTCGTATGCCACCTGGCATATTTACAAGCGTTATGCCTCCTGGCATGTACATGATAGACATATTCTGCCACCTGGCATGTGAATTGATACATCATACTAGTTTTCTGCCACCTGACAGATACGATGCAATTACCTCAATTAGCGGTAATACGCCCGACATTTTGGCGTGTCTGCTTCCCTTACGTTCTGTAACGCAACTAACTTTTTGTGCGGTGCGCCCTCTGGGCACAAATCACCGCAATCACCAAGGAGGCCAAAACATCCTCCCCCCCGATGAATCACATTCATCTTAATACAATCTTCAATATATGCAAACAAGTAAATGAAAAATATAGAAAATGAAAACATACAAAAACCTTCAAAAAGTATAAAATTACATATTACACTTACCAATCTTCTAGCAAAACATCTTATATCTTACTATATTGAAACGTTAACTATGAGGGTTAAACTAGAACAAACAAATAAAATTATTAGTACAATAAGAAATGAAAATAATAATAAAACATATTCAATATAAACCAAATGCTTAAGTTAATGTTCTTCAACTGGTAAAAGACACAGTTTGGTAATAGGACGTTTAATGTCCCCGTGCACAGTTTTTAGTCTAACCACTCGGACATTATTGTCTCTTCCAGGAAACACTTCTATTACTTGCCCGAGTTTCCAACGTAATGAAGGCATATTATCTTCTTTAATGAGAACCAAGTCATTTAGATGAATATTTCTGCTAGGCTGTCTCCATTTGCTACGCTGCTGTAGTTGGCACAGGTACTCTTTAGACCACCGCTTCCAAAGCCCTTGGAACATCTGCTGTGTTAGTTGCCATCTTTGCAATGGAGACACTCGTACTTCGGTTAAATCTTGTTCCGGAATAACAGTTAAAGAAGTCCCTATAATAAAGTGTCCAGGAGTCAAAGCTGTCAAATCATTGGGATCACTGGAGACCGGTGTTATTGGCCTCGAATTTAAGCATGCTTCAATTTGTGCAATTAGAGTTAGAAACTCTTCATAAGTCAAAATTTGAGTTCCAACACATTTCTTTAGATGCAGCTTCATAGATCTAACAGCTGCCTCCCATATACCACCATGATGTGGAGCAGCTGGCGGGTTGAATATCCACCTTATGTTTTCATTTGCTAACCACCTTTGAAATTCTGAAGCCTTCCGTAACTCATAGATGGTAAGCATACCAGATTGCTTTTCACGAATGGATTTACAGTTGTTCACGAAGCGCAGAACATAAGCCATTATTCCCAGTACTTTGGTTAAATTTCCGTACAGTTCAAGATTTAGTAACAGTTCTGTGGATTCCACAAGTGTTTTCAAAGTAACACATTTACGTTCTTCACTAACGTTTTGCAAGTCAGCTTCGGTATTCATTTCGTTTATGTGATGTCGAATATCTACTTCTGAAAGCCAGGGTAGCCCAGAAAACCAATCACTATCATTAATTAGAGCTTCAGCATCCATGCCCCTCGTAAGTTTATCAGCAGGGTTTGTCTTCCCACTGCAAAAGTACCAGTTGTTTAAAATTGTTTTCTCCTTGATTTCTACCACACGATTTCTAACAAATTGTTTCCACTCGTTGGCAGATCCCTTGATCCAGTGAATGCAAATTTGGGAATCAGTCCAGTAAAATATATTTAAATGTATTTCCCTTATCCAACTGCGGAAATATCGATTGCAAATACGAACCTAATCTTGCAGAAATTAATGTTCCCAAAAGTTCAAGCCTAGGGAGTGTTACCCTTTTTAATGGAGCCAAACGGGATTTCGACATTATGAAACTTGTTTTACATTTATTTTTCTTCTTAAATCTAAAATATGCTACAGCACCATAACACTTGGGACTGGCATCAGAAAATATGTGAACTTCTATATAAATATGTTAACTTCTATAAACTTCCAACACATATCACTGAAGTACTGTCTGGGAATTTCGAAAAACTTTATTTTTTCAACTTCTTCTAACCATTCCTGAAATATGAATTCTGTATCAAGGGGAACATTTTCGTCCCATTGAATACCCTTTTCCCACATAGTTTGCATTAAGAGTTTAATTCGAAACAGTAAAGGGATTCATAAGGGATAATAATTCCTAAATTCCTAAGGGATTCATAATCCTGTATCAAAGAGCATACCACATGCTGCTAAAATGATGCGTTTAGTTACTTTGAGATTTTGTAACTTCTCAAACTGAGATACATCTATTTTCAAATTATCATTGACATTGTCCCAGATAAGACCTAAAACTTTCAACGGTACCAAAGAGTCTTCAGATGTTTCACGAGAGTCAATTCCATTACGTTTCCATAGTTCATTCAGCTCAGGTGAGTTTGAAACCCATCTACGTAAATTCATACTGGCCTTGCTAAGAATGAAAATCATGTCCTTGCTTAAATGTAAGGCCTTTGCTACATTAACTGTCCCAGAAATTAAATTATCTACGTAAAGCTCTTTTAACATACTGCATGCCTCTTCGTAGGCATCTTCATACTTTTTTAAATGCAGTCTTACTGTAGCTGTTAATAAATAAGGTGAGCACTTGATCCCCGAAAGGAACTCGATTGTGTGTGAAGAACTTGTAAGTTGGGATTACTGTGATCGAGATTTGACCCTTCTTCATTTATCCACAAAAAACTTTAAAAAAATCCCCTATCTTCTTTTTAGCTAAGCCTACCTCTAAAAATGCACGCTGAATGTCGGCACAAAACGCAATTGAATGTACCCTGAGTTTAATGATAATCTTTAGCAAATCAGGATTTAAATTAGGTCCGCTTTCCAAACAATCATTAAGTGATAAATTTCCCTTACTTTTAGAAGAAGCATCAAAAACTATTAGAACCTTTGTAGAATCCTTCTGCTCGCGCACTACCGCTTGATGAGGCATGTAATACCCCGTTTTCAAACTACTATTTAAATACGTATCTACCCGTTCCACTATACCATCTCTCAAGTGTTCATTAATTATCTCATTATATTTTAAATATAGCTCGCTATTTTTCTGAAACTTATTATTTAAAAATTGTAAACGCTGTTTCGCGATTTCATAATTGTTATTTAAACCTTCAACACCCTCTTTCCACAATAATCGAGTTTCATACCTTTTTATTCTTGTAAGTTGTATTTCGTTCAAATGACTCTAAAATTTCTTTATCTGATAGAGATATTTCTTTATCCGAACTTATCCCAATTGCTTCTAATTCCCATAATTTTTTAACTCTTTCATAATCCA